GAAGAGCAGTCAGTACTCTTAACCTCTGAACCATCTCGCCAGCCCCCCAAATTTAAATCTTCTATTTAGACTAAAACGGGAATTGTAGGAGTGAACCCCACAAAGCTATCCGCCCATGAGGGTGGGGGCAAGTAAATTAGCACAGGTAGAGATAAAAGGAAGTGAAAGGAAAAAGGACCTCCCTTTTTTGGAAGCTAGCCACGCTTCTAACTCCTAGCTTGTGTGACTCTCTCTCTCTCTCTCTCTGGTAAATAAATATATTGTATCCTCTATAGCATCGGCTATAATCAATAGAGTATGGCTGAGGCACAGTGACTGCAGACTTATATAGCAGCCAAGCTTATAGAGGAAAGCCAGCGGTCGACTCCACAGGATAAAACAGATCAGCTCTTCATTCACAGACCAAATGCTGATCCAGAAACACAAAGCCAGGGGAGAAGTGACACGCTCTTGAACATATTGTATCACAATGACAACAGAGGAGATAAAGATGAAAGATAAGTGAGTCTAAAGAATTTAGTGACAAGACTTGGGAATCATCTCATCAAAAGTAGTAATTAGGAAAACATAGGATGTAGAGAAAAATCTCCTAATTTTAACCAGGTAAAGGAAAACAAAACAAAAAAACCTAGTGACTAAGTCAACCAAAAGATTCTCAAAAGAGGGGTTGACAAATATCAAAGTTGGAGAAGAAAAGAACCAAATGTCCACTGACTTAGGAATAACTTCAGTGAAATATAAAGGTAAAACTCAGATTGCAATAAATGAGGAATGATTGGAAAGTGAAATAGTTTGGCTACATGGAAAGAGAAAGCAGGAAACAGAGGTAACACGGGTTCAAGACAGAATATTAACATAGAAACATGAACACACTTGTGTGCTAAAAGTGGGAGACGCCCAAGAGAAAGCGGAAACAATGGATTGAAGAGATGGTTCAGTGAGGAAAGTACTTACTGTGCAAGCATGAGGACTTCAGTTTGATCCCCTAAGAGCAGTAAAAGCTAGATAGAGTGGATTCCAAAGAGGTCTGTGATACGCTGTCTCAATAAGGCCAATTACACCATGGCAGAAAGAGCAGCAGTCTTGAACCCAGCTGACCTACTAGGCACCTGAGGTGGTGAGAGGAGCATCATGCACATTTTAGGACAACATGCCTGCTCTTAATTGATGAACAGAGTTGCAGTCTTGGGTCCACATGGAAATGCTTCTGCAAAGTTCAGAGCCAAGCAGAGGATGACTACCAGCAAGCTCTAAGATATGTCTTTCACCAACACATCTTTCTGTGTAAGTAGAATAGAGGTAGTCAACATGGGTTGAGAGTATGAAATCTTTCTACATTTCCTTATGACATCACCATTTACAAACGACTTCTCTCCAAGGTTACAGGATCATTAAGTAGGGATTTGTATCTTAAGCTATATTATCTCTTTTATACCCTATAATCTCTCTCTCTCTCTCTCTCTGGGGGGGGGGGTTGAGACAGGGTTTCTCTGTGGCTTTGGAGGCTGTCCTGGAACTAGTTCTCGTAGACCAGGCCAGTCTTGAACTCACAGAGATCCGCCTGCCTCTGCCTCCTGAGTGCTGCCACCACTATGCCACCATTAAAGGCGTGTGCCACCACTGCCTGGCTTATACCTTATAATCTCTTTTTTTAAATTTTTATTTATTTATTTATTTTTGGTTTTTATGAGACAGGGTTTCTCTGTATTGTTTTGGAGGCTATCGGTCCAGCCCGGCCTCGAACTCACAGAGATCCGCCTGCCTCTGCCTCCCGAGTGCTGGGATTAAAGGCGTGTGCCACCAACGCCTGGCTACCTTATAATCTCTTAAGGGAGTCACGTTCATTAAATCTGTTTTACTCTGCCAAGGAGAAAGATAACAAACCTACAAATGGTAGGAAATCATGCTTACATATCTAACATAAGGTCACATGTAGAGCTAAAGCCCAAATTATCTCATTTCTAAGTCATTTTTTATTCTTCATCTGTAAATCCCTGACAACTCAAAAAGGTTCCTTAGTAAAGTTTAGCACAGGAAACCATCTTCACATTTCTAAGGCTCCTCAGAGATTTTTTTTTTCTGAGAAGATACACAATCCAGCTTCAAAACTCACATCTAATTTCCTTTTATTGAAACATACCTTATGGAGCAAATAGATGAGAAATAGTAATAGTTGCACAATCAGGAGTTTATGCACATACTACTTGGTGATGTTCTTTTGCATTTTTCTCTATCATTTGGCCTTCTATTTAGTGATGAAAATGAAGGGAATCTAGATCTTCCTTTTTGCTGTCAACTACTGAGTGAAGTCTCCAAGCTATATATACTTCCTCTAAAATCAAGGAATACCAAACAAGTCTGGGGGCTCAGCTTATGAAATGTCAAATATCCGTCGAAATCATTTTACGTTAAGAGATAGCCAAGTTTTCCCCCATTGCCATACCAAATCCAGTAGATTCTGTGTGATAAGTTCTACAGACTGAGGTGATAACTTCAAAAGGAGGAGGTCTCCTGGAAACGGTTGTGGAACTCTTGGCTGGAGAAGAATATTGAGCCGTAGTTCTCATGGCAATCTCTGTTCTTCTATTCTTTTCTCTTATTAACAAAATGTTCCTGAAAGCCTATGCTGACATTTTAAACAAAAGATATAAATGAGAACCCTTACCTGAGATGTGATCACTGACCATGACCTCATCTCCAGGAAAACGGTGCTTTTGAATCATTCATGCATTCATATAAGTAAATAGTAATAATATTGACAAAAACTTTCCCAACAATAAAATTTCATATGGCTGTACATGTGTGAGCGAGAGTGGTTTTAATGTTTGGTAAAGAAAGTTTTTTGATAAGAAAAAAGTTAAAATTGCTCTATTTCAAAGACTCACAAGAACTAGGCAACAGAATCAACCAATTGTGACTAGGTAACAGATGTCAAACAATAACTAACCATAAAAATTTATTAACCTGATCCTAGAAATAGGTGGTTAGCTACGGTTAGCCTTGGATGATGTTTTATCATTTTTATTAGCATTGGATAAGTTGTGTGTTTGTGCCTAGTAACGATGATGTTATTTGGGTATTGCTTCACTGAACATAACCCCTGAGATATTTGTTTTCATTATAAAAATCTTTGAGAACTGCAAAATACACTCAGATTCAAACTGCCTGTTTTCTGTTTGTCACCGCCAAATTCTTACCCACCTAGTCCTTGAGAACCCTCATCCCAGGGACCCCCATACCCAGCTGGGGTGATCCGTGGCACCCCATCTTCTCACCAGCTCTCCTCCCAACACATACACAGAACTACACATTTCTTGAAGATACCAGAGATCAATACTACTGTAGGCATTAATGTTTTTAGCAATGATCTGTCAATCATACTTGATAATCTGGTAGCCGTGGCAATGGAGGGAAAGTGTCATTTACTTTTGTTTGCTTTTTCACATAGGGTTTCTCTGTGTAACCCTGAATGTCCTGGAGCCTACTCCTAGGCCAGGCTAATCTCAATCTCCAAGATCTGCCTGCCTCTGCCTCCCAAATGATGGGATTAAAGGTACCTCTACTCTTCTAAGGTAATTTGGGTTTAAATTACTTGTTAGCATTAGAAGGACAAAGGGAAAAAGGAAGTATTTTCTTGCTTTCCCCATTGTTGGTTCTCAGCAAAGGGAGTAAGTCCTAAGAACCAAAAGCAATAAAGGCCTAGTGGTGTAGGCTTCTATCACGAACTACATGGGAGCCAGAAGCAGACATAATGAAAGCACAAGGCTCGCCTAGGCTACAAAATAAATCCAAGGTTAGCTTGGGCAATTTAAATTCTAAAAGTAGAAAGGTGGTTGAGACTATTGCTCAGTGGTAGATTTGAGAGGGGGCAAAGGAAGGATGTATTTTGGTTATGATTTCTTGATGAAACATGACAGACAAGTGGGGAGGTACACGCCTGTAATGCAGGCAAGAAGATCCCAAGTTAAAGAACAGGTAAGCCTATGCCATAGGTCATCTTTTTTTTTTTTTTTTTTTGGTTTTTTCGACACAGGGTTTCTCTGTGGCTTTGGAGGCTGTCCTGGAACTCACTTTGTAGACCAGGCTGGCCTCGGACTCACAGAGATCCGCCTGCCTCTGCCTCCCGAGTGCTGGGATTAAAGGCGTGTGCCACCAACGCCCGGCGCCATAGGTCATCTTAAAAAACAAAACAAAAATAGACATGTAAACTCGTCAAGAATTACTTCTTTCTTACTCCATATTTCTAAAACAATCACACACCCCTTTTCTTAAGTGATAGCAGGCTAACCAGGCCACCAACCAAATCATTCTTTTTGGCTTAGCTCTTTATGTTATAGATAGCAAGTAAAGTTTTAGAGACAGCTTTGGCCCAGGTTAAGTGGTTCCCACTTATTGGCTAATTTTTCTCAGGATTTCCGATACTCATTCTCGGAATTTACCTTTACGTGGTTACCATTTGAAATGACACCAAAATGTGCTGGGGTGAGAATTGGGATGGGGAATCTGAGCATAGGCACATGAAAAAAATTAGATGTAATAAAATTAGGCTCAGCTTCTTAAAATACATTGTTTAGACAAACATATCATTGGAGGAGGGCGTGATGGTATGTCTTTCCCCAGTGCACATCCTATGCTGCACAGTAGTGGGTGGATCCAGGCCAAGAGAACACTCCAATTTCTAAGACAGTAATATCCATTTTTTCCCTTTTTTTTTTTCCAGACAGGGTTTCTCTGTATTTTTTTGGAGGCTGTCCTGGAACTTTCTCTGTAGACCAGGGTGGCCTCGAACTCACAGAGATCTGCCTGCCTCTGCGTCCCGAGTGCTGGGATTAAAGGCATACGCCACCAATGCCTGGCCCATTTTTTCCCATTTATGCTATAAATGCCACTTGGCAAATCCATATTCAAAGTAATGGTGTAGTTTGATTTAAAGGAACAGGAGGTTTGGAAGGTGCTGTACTTAAGGGCCTGAAACAGAAGTAACATTCTACACACATGAAGATAATTCACATGTGAAACTTTATTGGACTTGGTCTTAGGGTTATATTGGGTATCAACAGTTTAAAATTTCCACAATTTTCAAAATTCACCTCAAATTGTTGCTTTCTCTTGCAAGTAGACTGACTGTCCTAACTTTTTGAAAGGTGGATTTAACTTCCCCTTTTCAAAATACTTTACTGGCTGACACATAAACATACTACAGAATTAAATCACTAACAGTTTTTCTTACTTTCGAGACAGTTTCTCCCTATTATGCAGCTCTGGCTGACCTGGAACACACTATTAAAACAGCCTGCCTGTCTCCCAGTGCCAGGATTAAAGGTGTGTGCCATCATACCCAGCTGACAAGCAGTTTCTTTACACGAACTGCATCCAGCAAACTAAAAAAAATTGACATTTTGTGGACCCTTGAGGACAAAAGCAGTGATGGAAGAAAAGCTAACTAAAGGATCTAGCTGTATCATGGGCAATCACAGATTTAATGTTTGCCTTCCAGCTCTTTGAAGTGTGGCATGCAGTAATTCATATCTCACTGAGGACAAGTCAAGAGTCAGACAGAACATGCTGGTTTACAGCAGCTTACTGAGGGAGCCACACCTCTCCATCTCCACATGGCTTCTGCAGGAACACCAAAGATGAAATAACATTTGTGAGAGGATGACGACGCCTCTTCCCCTAACTAGGGACTAGTAACTATTGCTACCTTGTACTTCTGAATGTGGGGACTGGATAGAGTTCTAATGACTTGCTGCTGCTGCTGCTACTACTACTACTATTTTTTGAGACAGGGTCTTACTATGTAGCCCTGGCTAGTGTGGAACTTGCTGTGTAGACAAGGATGGCCTTGAACTCCTGCCTCTGCCTCCCAAGTACTGGGATTAGTGTGTATACCACCACACTCTGCAGATTTCAACTTTTTGCATTCATTTGACTTGTCAAAATATCTTAATAAAGGCAGTGCAAAAAGTTTTAAAAAATATCAAATGCTTAAGTAAGCTTAAGTTAAAACATTAGTAAAGAAGAACTGCAACTCTGAGGAGACAGAAAAACATAAATCAAGTTTTAATACAAAATGTAAACAATACAGAAGAATGGAGTTAGTTGTAATTTTCATGAAACAATGTTTTACATTAGAACATCTACTTTTCCTTAAATAGATGACTCTTATTTCATTAACACACAAACTATAGGTTTTTTTTTTAATTTGTGGGTAGAGTGCTACTTTTTTCTCTTATATCCTTAGAAGAATTGTTTTTCTATATCTTAATTACTTCTAGTTTATGTGTCTATTTTCTTGATATATTTCTATGCACCACAAATGTGCAGTGCTCTTGGAGGCCAGAAGAGGATAGGATGCCCTAGAACTAGAGCTGCTGATGGTTGTGGGCCACCATGTAGTGTTGAGATTTGAACCTGGGTCTTCTGGAAGAGCAGCCAGTGTTTTTAACTGTTGAGACATTTTTCTAGCCCCTCTCTTGTGTTCTTTTGAGTTTTGGTATAAATCTATGGTTAAGACAAACCAAATTCCTCAATAAGTACAGAAAGAGTCTATGAATCAATTAAATTATATATTTAAAAGTTTCAAAATATTAGAAGATGACAGGCAGCTGGTCACAGGTACAGACTGCCTATTTCTGAGGTCTCCAATGGACAAACATTGTACAAGGTACACAAATCATTCCCCAAACAGTCACCTTTCAGCATCCTCATGACCCTGTTCTGTTGATATTGGAAGGAAAATCAAATTATTTAAGTGCATTCTGGAATTCCATCACTTACATTTTAAATTTCTGAAGGGTGGGAGAACACTCAATTTTTAAACCACAAGTATTTCAAGTCTTTTACAAAGACAAAAATGTTAAAAAAAAATTGTGCTTTTTTTTTCATTATAACAACAACCAAATAAAATTCTTAAGTGATAATCTTCATAGTTTGGCCAAATAAAAATGTGCAAAATTAACTAATTACTTAATTAACATGTAACCGCTACTTACACCTACATGGAGATGGAAATTCAAGACACAAACACAGCACACATTCAAACCACATAACTGGTTAAGATATTCAAATGTTATCTAATAAGCGAAGAGACCAAAAAGTAGGTAGTATAAACCAGAAACTGGATGTTGTACCTACAGCCGTACCACCTGCATGTGTATGTCTCATCTGACCTCGGATGCTAAGCAGGGTCAAGCCTGGTTAGCACTTGGGAGAAGGCGTTTTGTAAGAAGACCTTTTCCCTTAAGATGCCTTTTGAGGTAACCCTCATACCCACACAGTCTGTAACTGGACAGTACATCTCACTTCTAGTTACTAGAAGACATTTCCTTAAGAGACTGGGGCAAAGGGGAGCAGAGACTAGAAACTTTCTAGGTTTGCTCAATGCCCCCTTTAAAAAGACAACTGATGAGTTTAAGTCAAACTTCAGATTTTTAAACCAAAATAAAGAACACAGGATAGTGAAGATAAATATTTTTAGAAAACATTTTTTGTCCTTTAAAATATATTAGTCCTCTTCTAGTAGGAGTTTACAGAGTACACCTAACACCTTTATAAGAACACAGAACACAACAGGGGAGAGGACACAGCACCATAGTTTCAAACATACAAAACATTCAGCACTGACTAGGTAAGACCAAGCTGCCCAACAGACAGGGACAAGTCCCAACACGGAGGAAATATATTATCTATTTGAATACAAGAAAAGTGGAAGATATGTTGAGGTGAAAATGGAGAAGGGAGTGCTAACTCCTTGTACTACAAGGAAGGAATGGGATTTCTTTATCAAAAAGCAGAAAGAGAATGCAAGCTCCCAAGTGGATTTTTGATGCTCAAACTTTGTCATACGCTGCTGGTAACAGTAAATATATATATATATATATCTATATTCATATATGTATATTAAAAAAGGAAAAATAATCTATAGAACAGTCAGTAGTCAGAGACATTTAGAAAAAAGTAAAAACAAGTCTTTCTTTCTTTTTAAAAACGGATTTACTAAAACAGCTTCACACCCAGAAGATCTATAACCCCACATCCTCTGATGAAGCCATGGTGTTATTAACATCTTCTGGGGCCATGTTGGAAACTACAGGCATTAGGGTTAGGGCTGCAAGGCAAAAGCTGTTATTTGCCAGTCTTGCTTATGGCCATGCCTGAAGCATGGTGGAGTCTGGAATACTTGTGAATGAGGGTTTCCCAGATAAGCATGCATCACTGAGGCTCAGTAAAAGGTTCTCATTAGTCATCCCTACTCCTTCCAGGAACCTGGATCCATGTACCTCTCCTCTAAAACAGACCCAGTCAAACTTCTCAAACCAATGGGCTACTTGCCTTGAAATATGAAAAAACCTTCTTCCTAGAATCCAGTATAGGCAGATTTTCTAGCCTGCTGACATCCTCCTGAGGAAAGTGAGGGGCTCTTTTGGAGGAATTTCTTACTGGTATAATAAGCACAAGCAGCTGACGTCTACAGACTGCACTGCCACCCCGAGACTTCTAAAAGGGATAACCTGGGCCTGCTCTTCCTAACTGGATTAGCAGAGCATAAATGCCAGTAATTATGACAATCAGGGAACCACCTCTAGGTTGTAACCTTCTACAACTAGTTTCAATTGGTCACAAGCCACATCTTATATGCCCAACAAGCATATCAAGGTGTTAATGCCAAACAGCCTTCCAAGAGTTCCATCAAGAACCTGGCCTTAATGCAGCAACCCATACTCAAAGGAGTCAAGAGCTGAAATACTGGCTGCTGTACCAAAGAAGACATCCTCTGCACAGATGATTGAGAATGTAGCCCACACAATCCATGCACAGAGGAAGCCAGAGGAGGACTTTCTCTGAAGTCCATTCATCTTTGGAAACAACATTCCGAGTGGTCAGAACCACTCTGCTTGATGAGTAAGGTCTCAATGTAGTTCACTTTCCCCCATGTTGCAAGCTAACCAAGCATCTGCTAACTGGTCTCTTTAAGATCCTCCATTGGTAGTTTGTAGCTCATTATGAAGGGAGGAGGTGGTGCTTGGCCTGGGCTATCTGGCCCCTGCTTCTTTGCACAGTTTATACAGATGTAATCTTCATTTTCAGCCATTTCTGGTGATACACCAACACAAACTTGATGAAACCACTCATCACAGCCACCATCACATTGCACCCAGTCTACCTGTAGAAGGTAAAGATTGGGAAATGTTTAGTATCATAACAGTAAGATCATAATAAAAGCAAACCAAAGAGCTTTCTTGGCTTAAAGAAGAGCAAACAATTGGGATATCCAGAGATAGATATGACTTCTTATGGGGTTATTTTTCAAAGAAAGAAGCTGATAAGTTAATACCCCCAAACTATATTTTACCATAGTGTGTCCACAAAATTAGGCCTCTTAGGTACTCTATTACCTCATGAATACCTGGGTTCCTTGCGAGGCAGAAACATGATTGGGGAATACTTGACAAAAAAGAAACTTCTAATAGAGCAGCCAAGTAGTTTTAGCTAATATTAACAATTTCTAGGCTCTAAGACAATGCAATTAACAATCAAGAAAGGAAGAGTACAACAATGTGAGGCAATCCTGTGGATTAGCTTTATTTCAAAGAGATAAGCCAAAGTACTAAGAGCATTAAATACCTTTTTAGAAAAGCAGTCACATAGGCCACTTTTAAAACTACTATTTTTTATTCTTCTCTTCTTCCGTTACAAATACAACTCCCTATAAAAAGTTAGCAAATATCAGAGGTCAAATCTTACAAGTTAACCAATTACAACAGTCAAAGACACAGGTCAATCGATTACTCTGAGGTTTAAAATTAGTCTGAAAAAAATGACAGGTGTCAGCGGCAGATGCCAAGCAAACACTGATCCTTCAGAGCCTTCAGTGACTACAGGAGACAGGAAAGGGTTTGGTGACTTTACACCTCGCATTTGTAGTAGAGCAAAAGTGTAATGTCAGGCTTTTCTGTTTGGAAGGTGACAGTGGTTCTTATATTTAACATCAGTATAGACAAGAATCTATCAAGATGAAAAGAGCTGCAGCCAGCTTCCATCACAACAAAAAGGCTGATCACTAGGGTGGCGATTCAGGAAGTCACTTAAAACTGAGTTTTACCAAACACTAGAACAAAGGAAAATGAAGTCCCTCAGCACAGCCAGAGAAGAAAAAAAGGAGGCCTTGGCTAGCAAAGTAAGTTTTATTTTGGCAAAGTGAGTGGTTTTCAAAATGTTTCCATAGCTTGTAAAATTTATGTAATAAAGGATGGAAAATTATTTATTAAAAATTGTTCATTTGGCTTTTATCATTTGTCTTCTAAATACTCTTAAATATTTGTATTTTTTTTTCTTCGTGTAATCAAATTCTTTAGGTGTTCCCCCAGGCATACAATCTTATTGTGTAGCCCAGGCTAGCCTTAAACTTCATTTTCAGTCTAGTTCTCTGCCAGGTTCAAATGAGATTAGCCTCTACAATGATGGGATCTTATTGCAAAGTTGTAAGCGTATTAAGCAAAGGAAAGTCCACACTTAGAACTGAGTGTGGACTTTAAGACATTCTAGATAATTCAGACCACTTTGTCTCTTCTTTGTGATAGTGCTTCCCGTAAGCTCAGAGCTACTTAACTACTCCCACCTAAACTAAATTCCATTTCTTTGTAACTACACGTATGTTTGCCTCAGAAGAAAGCAAAAGTATAGTTAAGAAACAGATCACAACGATCCTGATGCAACCAGAGAAAAATTAGGAGATAATAAGGTATAGAATAAAACAAATATAAAGGAGTTGTAGGAAAGTAAACATTTATAAACTGCTAACTATTGCAAGTGAATTGAAGATGAGTGCTTTGAGTACTTGGAACTTATAAAGGAATTAGAAAAATGACCTTCATTTCAAGGGGTTGCATTGATTAGAGATACTATGATCCCTGTACACCCCTTCCCCCCAGTACTTCTCTTTGAAGCCCTGGAACATGTACTGTAGGGCCAGGCTGGCCTCCAACTCAGAGATACACTTGCCTCTGCCTTCCAAGTGCTGGGATTAAAGGTTTGTGCCACCATGCCCAGTTACTGTGATGTTTTATGATGCCACCACACCCCACCCCAAACAGATTCCTCTAATCCTATTGATCCAACAAAGTCCTCAGTTATGCTAGTCCACAGTAAAACTGCTACAAATTTAGAAGTATCTGCTACCAAAAAACAAAACAAACAAAAGCCCACAACAAAAAGCAAACAAAAAATGGCATTCAATGTTTTTTTTTTTAAAGTTTTCACTGTACCCACTGGCTTCCAGTTTCTGAAAACTAAATACTATTTTCTTTCAAGTAAGAAAGTCATAGTCGGGGGCTGGAGAGATGGCTCAGAGGTTAAGAGCATTGACTGCTCTTCCAGAGGTCCTGAGTTCAATTTCCAGCAACCACATGGTGGCTCACAACCATCTGTAATGAGATCGGTGCCCTCTTCTGGCCTGTGGACATACATGCAGACAGAACACTGTATGCATAACAAATAAATAAATAAATAAATAAATAAATAAATAAATAAATAAATAAATAAATCTTAAAAAAAAAAAAAAAGACATAGTCAGGGATGGTGGCACACACCTTTAATCCCACCATTTGAGAGGCAGAGGCAGCAGACCTCTGCAAATCTCTGCAAGTTTGAGGCCACGCTAGTCTACAAAGTGAGTTCCGGGACAGACAAGGCTGTAACACAGAGAAAGAAACCCTGTCTCAAAAAACAAAACAAACAACTGTTATTTTCTCTTGTGTGGTTTTTGACTAGAAGTACCTTTCTAATCCTAGCTCTTTGACTATTTCAGAGAAAGATATCATTTTCCTTTAGTTAATCATTGATGCACAGATGCTATTGCAGTCTTTTGGTTATATAATACAGTAAGGAAAACTATACCCTTCACTTATCAATTCCTGTATGAACCATCAACCTGAATTCCACTGCCACATGAAAAGCCCCACAGGATCACAAAGCAAACTAAAGTTCCGAATGACAACTGAATCCACAGACAATTCTGAGAGAGGCAGCAACCTATGCAGTAACTTAAAAGTTTGTATGTATGGAATCTGGCTAACTGCATACTACATTCTAATAGTTAAACCCACTTTCATTCACTGTTAGGGAAAAGGGCTTCATCACTTAGTAAATTAAAAAAAAAAGAGAAAAAAAGAAAAAAGAGAACTAATTCCTCCAAAATGCAAGCATGGTGGCAGGTGTCTATAGTCCCATTATTTTGAGAGGATGAGGCAGGAGGATCCTTTGAAGACTATGGAACTTCTTGTAGCATAGCAATACCTTGGATCTTAACAAACAGAAAACCCACAACTGCCATGATCTGATGAATTAACTGGTAAAAATCTAATAATACAGTATAATACAGAAATAGGGTCAGAAAGATCTCTTGTACATAGGAGCACTTGTTGCCAAGCCTGACAACCAATGTGAGTGGACTCCATATGGGGAAGAGAAAACTGACTACTGCTCTCTTTCTGCCAGGTGAACACCCTCCTCACACACGTTAAATAATATATTGAGGGTGGGTGCTCAGTAGTAGGAATGCTTACTTAGTATTTTTAAGGATTTAAGGACGTGGGTTTCATGCCCAGTACAATCAACAGAGAAAAGAAACAGAATGTGAAGAGAGGCAAACAGAGTAGCAGAAATAATGATAGCCTGACATTTTTGTTTTGTTGTATGATTTCACACTCAGACTTAAGTTCTTGGCAATTTGTATTTTGTTCAGACCTTAAAGCATAATACTGTTGGGGGAGAAAAGAGAAAACTGTATTTAATGATCTTTTAAAATCAACGAATAGCAAACACTAAATATGTGAGGCAGGAATTTATAAATTTAGGTATTTTAATTTATTGTAACAATTCTTATATTAAGAAGTGACCAATAAAAAGTTCCGGAGAGAAAACCTGAATCATATGTAAAATGGTTATTCATTTTTCATTTTTTTGGGGGGTAGGGTCTTACTATAGCCTTGGCTGTCCTCAAATTCACAGAGATCTACCTGCCTCTGCCTCCCAGGAATTAAAGGTGTGTGCCACTACCGCCCACCAAGATTAACTCTTTTAAGCATGCATCACTGTTAACACAAATAAGATAGATATAGAAGCAGACCTCAGGAAGAAAAAGCTTCTGGATTTTAGAACATTTCTAAAAATTCCTCTATATTGTTTTAAAAGTTAATTTTAGCTCAAACTTTTGTAACTGATTGAAAAATAGTCTTTTTGAAACCACCATACTCTGGTGTTTTCTTTCTTTACTCCTGGTAAACTATTTTGAAATTAAGCTAGGGAGATTCAGTAAACACTTTTTAAAAGAATACTTATCAACCTTTCAGTTTTTAGAAAAAATAATAACCATTACTGATAAGAGAAATGATGAAGGGACATTCAGATAAAAACCAATGATCTCTAAGGTTTTTCTTTATTGCATATTTCCCTGAAAAAGTGTTTTTCTTATCTAAAGCTATACATCATTTGTTAGATATTTAACTACCAATTAAGAAAGTTGAAAATTCTTAAATTAGTAAAACTAGTGTCAGAAAAATTGCAAAATAGTAAAGGCAGATGAAATATTTATAATCTGAAATAATCTACATAGATTAACAGTTTAATATAGACATTTTCCCTGAATATGTAGTTAAATGTTTTATCAAAATGTACCCACACGCCGGGCGTTGGTGGCGCATGCCTTTAATCCCAGCACTCGGGAGGCAGAGGCAGGCGGATCTCTGTGAGTTCGAGGCCAGCCTGGTCTACAAAGTGAGTTCCAGGACAGCCTCCAAAGCTACAGAGAAACCCTGTCTCGAAAAACCAAAAGTACCCACATAAATACTAATTATTATAGGAGCAAATCTCATGGTTCATTGAAAAGTAATGATCACCTCTTTACACTTATACACTTCCTGTTATTAAGTGTTTTCACAGACTCTGTCCTCTTTTTTATATGTTAGTTTATATTTAATTGTATAGTGAATGGGGGGTGGTGGTGCCTGAAGTGTTGCTTGCTGAAGGAAGAGCATAGGGATAATAAGTGTATTTATATATTGCTAGCATTGAAATTATTAAAACTTAGCTAAAGAAGAGAGAAGAATGATCTAACAACAATGAGCTGCTAATATTTTCATAGCCAAAGGAAAAAAGCTAATCTTCCATCAACCATTTAAGTAAATAAATGAAAAATTATCCAGGAGTTGGGAACTTGATAGAGAACTTGAATCTGGAACAAAGAGCCAGAGTTAGCTTTTGGTTTTGGGGCTCTACCACTGGTTTAGTTCTGTAACTTTGGTCACATCATATTTGCAAATATGAGGAGCTAGAACAAGAGACTTCTTGGCCCCTTTCAGGCTCTAAAAATATGTTAAGTGGGGCACAACCTCCAAGAAACAGTGATACAGTTTTACTTATCTTTTTTTGGGGGGGGGGTGGGCTCGAGACAGGGTTTCTCTGTGGCTTTGAAGGCTGTATAGGAACTAGTTCTTGTAGACCAGGCTGGACCATCCAGAGATCTGACTGCCTCTGATTCCCAAATGCTGGGATTAAAGGTGTGTACCGTATCTTTTATATCCAAACTGAGGAATATTTCAAATCCGGAACATGAAATGGTCTGGGAATACACACTATAGCCTGTGTATGTGGTGGCAGAGGTCAACAGCAGGCATCTTCCTCTAGTGTTCCACCTTACTTTTGACATAGGATCTCTCACTGACCCTGGAGTTAAGCAAGAGGTAAGTTTGGAGGCTCCACATGTCTCCACCATCTGGCCTCCTTCCCCTCCTTTGCCTCAGGGTGCTGTTGTTACAGCCCAGCCTTTATATAGGTTCTTGTACTCAGAACCTTGCATGTAAGTACTTCAACAGCTGAGCTTTCTCCCTAGCCCTTTAAAATTATAAACTTATTGGTTTTAAAATTTATTGTTTAGACAAGGTCTCACTAGGTAGCCCAAGTTGGTCTCTAAACTGAAACCCTCATTTTCTGTGCCACCCAGGTGCTGAATTACAAATGTGCACCACCACAATGGCTCCTTATTAGTATTTATGACAGGAAGAATAAAAGATGTCACCTATCACTTAAATAATTTTCCCCCTCAATAGTCTGTCCGTTTCCCCAAGATATTAGCAGGACTATTGCCTGAAAAACATCCAACCCTGAATTACTGTACTTAAAATTGAGGGTTAAAAAAATAACTACATGTGGCCGGGCGGTGGTGGCGCACACCTTTAATCCCAGCACTCGGGAGGCAGAGGCAGGCGGATCTCAGTGAGTTCGAGGCTGGGCTGGACCGATAGCCTCCAAAACAATACAGAGAAACCCTGTCTCGTAAAAACCAACCCCCCCCCAAAAAAAAACAAAAAACAAAAACTACATGTATTTGAAATAGAGTCCGAGGACAGATGACACCTTGAGGAAGCCAGTTCCCTACTCCTATCATGTAGCCCTGGGAATGGACTCAGCTTGGTCAAGCTTGGTAACAAGCACCTTAAACCACTGAGTCATCTACAAGTCCAGGCTGGAAAATTTTAATTAACAATACCATTAAGAGTCTGAATTATTTGCTAAGGAAAAAAATCATATTCTACTTAAGAGAGTATCTTTCATCTAGAACGTAAGATAAGGATAGACTTTATTTTGAAGCTTTACCACATATTACATATGAAATACACTACTTGCCAAGAGTTTCAAGTAACTTTTCTATGCTTCTGTATATCTCTACGTAAAAGACTATTGTAGAATATTATTTTAAGGTGCTTAATTTTGTTTATGCCTGAAACATTTGTTTAATGATACAAAGAAGTGTTTGTTTAAATAAAATTCACCTGTAGTCAGAAGGCAGTGTCAGCAACTGATAGGAAGTTGTAGGGAGCAGCTAGGTGGAGAAGGGTTTATAAGGAGAGGCGAGAAAAAGCAGGAGAACTTCTTGGGAGATGAGGTGAGCTACGTGAGCTGCTATTCAGTCTGAGAAACAAGATTCTACCTCAACCTTTAAATCTTGAGTTCTTTAACAGTACAGAAATTTAAATGAGTTTCCTTAGCAGCTTTGAAAGAGTCCTCAGTGCCAGAGGGAACAGAATCCCCTCAGGCTTCTTGTTCTTGTGGCCTAACTGCTGCAGAGAAGTTGCAGTTGCTAAATAGGAGAGACGTAGCTTTAAAGACAACAACAATTAAAAAGAAAAACAAATGACTTTAAAAAATGTATTTCCTCCACTAAGTGGTGTCACTATTTAAAATGGTTCATAAAAACTGTAGAAAAAATTATGTTTGAAGTCCAAATCTGGAATCACAAACAACTGTTATCACACTGTTCATACATTTATCTCCACAAGCATTATCGGTCGGGCCCCTCACACCACCAGTCAATGAACCCTGCGCTCACCTTGTCCTTACACGGCCTTTGGCAGTTCTGTGCTGCGCACACGGCATTCTCATCATCGGATTCCTCTGCTCCTGACCAGTCATACTTTGAGGGGATATCCAGCACTTTTTTCTCTCTTTTCTTCTCAGTACTCTCTTTCACAGGCTCAACTTTGGCTGCAGCAGCCTTTTCTTTCTTTTTCTTTCTCTCTTCTTCTTTTGCTAGCTTCTTGGCCAATTTATTCAGCTCTTTTGATTTCTCCACATTTAATTTTAATTTCTTCTTTTTAGGTTTATCTATTTTCTTTAGCTCCTTGGTTTTCTGTTTTCCTTCTCCAAAAAACTGTTCCACCTTCTCTAGTTTCCGTTTCCGTTTCTTCTCTGAAGAATCCTTTCCCTTCATTTTTAGTGGTTTCTCTTCCATGCTATCATCCTTCAAAAATATAAAATTAACCAGCATTTTAATGGAAAGCTTAAAAAATGGTGTTATTCTTTTATGTGAGGTACTCAGAACAAATAAATTAGCAGACACAAAAAGTAGAATAGGGGCTGGAGAGATGGCTCAGAGGTTAAGAGCACTGACTGTTCTTCCAAAGGTCCTGAGTTCAATTCCCAGCAACCACATGGTGGCTCACAACCACCTTGAATGAGCTCTGATGCCTGCTGCTGGCATGCAGACAGAAGATTGTATACATAATAAAAAAAAAAAAAAAAAAAAAGTAGAATAGGCAGTGAAGGAGGGGAAACAGACTATATTGTTTGATGGTACAGATTTCTGTTTGGGATGATTATAGAGTTGTAGAAAACTGGGTATTGGTGGTATATATCTATAATCCCAGTACTTGGGAGACAGTGGCCAGTGGGTCGCTGCAGGTTCAAAGGCAGCTTGGTCTATATAGTGAGAGCATGTCTCAACTTCCCAACCCCCAAAATGAGTTCTAGGGACGGATTGTGTTGGTACTTGCATATAATATGAATGTAAATAATACAACTGAGCTGTCTATTAAAAAAAAAGTGATAGCTCTTGTTTTGTAGTCACTACATCAAAAAATTTTAAACTGCCACTAAGAAAGTTTGGGTTGCCAAAGTCCCTGTCTCACAAAAAAAAAAAAAAAAAGAAGGAAAATTAACTTTAACACCCCAGCACCCCAGAGGCAGTAGGTGCTCTCTTCAAGGTCAAAGATAGTTGAGGCTACATAATGAGACCTCTTTGAGACAGAATATTCAATGAAAAAAAAAAAAAAGAGTAGAAAATAATACCAACCCTATATTCAGAAATGGCATGCCTATGATCCTAGCATGATCAAAGGAGATCATGGATGTAAAAACACCATTATGTATAAACTGCTAATGTAAATGTAGCACATGACTGTGAAGTCTCCATTCTAACTAATCCAGTTCTACTTCCTCCCCTTTACCTCTTTTCCTAAGCACATGAGCGCGCACATGATATGTGTATACAAGTCGGAATGTGTGTGGAAGCCTGAAGTTGATGTCTGTGTCTTCCTCAATCACTCTCCACTTAAAACTGAGGTATGGTTTCTTTCCGAAGCTTAACATTTTTGCTAATGTTACTAGCCGGTTGGCTCCAGAGATTCCCGACCTTTGTCTCTCATACACTGGGATTACAGGAGGCTGGCCACCAAGATCACCTAGGTTTTTTGTTTGTTTTTGTTTTAAATGTCGGTGCTGGAGATGCAAACTCTGGTCCTCATATTGGCACAGCAAGCACTTAACCTACTGACCCATCTCCCCAGCTACACCTTTTAAAAACTACCACATTTACCCAATTCCCTACTCCTCCATACCCCAGACAGAGTTTCTGTATAGCCCTGGCTGTCCTTGAACTCACAGATTCGCCTGCCTCTGCCTCCTGAGAGTTGGGATTAAAGGTGTGTGCCACTAACCCCTGACCATATTTACCCAATTTTAAAATAACTGTTCTAAAATCATCTAAATTTAAAAACATAGAAAATTTAAATTGTATGTGTATGTGTGTATGTTTCTGTGTGGATATATGCATGTGAGTGGAGGGGTTTTTGGAGTAGAGAAAAGTGCTTCAGATCCCCTGAATTAGAATTAGAAGTGGTTATGAGACACCCAACGTGGTGCTAGGACTGGCCTACACCGTATACTGCAGTATATACTCTTAACCACTGATTCATCTCTCTAGACCCTAAACTGCTTGATTTTTTTTTGTTTTTTGTTTTTTCTTTTTGTTTCTGAGACAAGGGCTTCTGTAGCCGAGGTTGGGCTCAAAGAAGCCAAGGAGACATTGAATGCCTTATCGTCCTGCCTCCACTTCTGTTTTAGGATTACAAGCCTGTACCATACTTGGCTAAACTGTTTTTTTTTTTCCTTTGCTTTTTAAAAGCAGAAATAAAAGAACTATTACACAAATTTCAATAAAGAAAACAAAGGAACAAATACTTTTGCTTAAATAAAAGAATAAGACTGCCAAATTACTACCCACTCAGCCATCCCTTTGACAGCATCCACGGTACTACTAAGGACCTGTACATGTTAAATATCTTTTAAAATCACTATTGAAATTAGTAGGAAGTCCATACCTCCATGATATGTAAGAATCTGTCCTCTGAGGGTGGATGTGTGGCCTGCAGAATCCGCCATATGTGTTGTGTTTCATCCAGAGACACTTCTAGGAGGTCTCCAACCATCATGAGTTCTTCCAACTGGGCTTTTGCTCCAGGAGACAGCTCCAATACTGGAGGCTCCAAACTTCGGGGAACCAAAGGGCTCTTCCGAGGCTGCTTTCTTGGTGTGCTAGAACCTTTCCCCAAAGACATCATGAAACAAAGCAAAGAAGTGAAATTGATATACAAATGTTTTCAAAGTAAATGTTTAGGAAAGAAATTTACCTCTCCGCTCTATAGTAAATTTAGATAACTGAATTAATTATATTAGTATTAAAAGGGGGGCTGGGCAATGGTGGTGCACACCTTTAATCCCAGCACTTGGGAGGCAGAGGGAGGTCTGTTTGGTCTACAGAGCTAATTCCAGGACAGCTAGGACTGTTACACAGATAATCCTTATTTCAAAAAACAAAGCAAACAGAAAGAAACCTCCTCCCCAAACAAAGAAGTTTTGCCACTTGGAGTGGCCTCCCAAGTAGCTAGGATATAAGCACAAACTATCAGACTTTAAAATAAAAATGATGTAAAAAAATGAATACAGGAAGCTTGTGACATGGCTCAATGTGCATAGTATTTGCTACACAAGCATAAGGACCTGAGTTTGGATCCCCAGCATCCATCCACATGAAGCTGGGTGTGGCAGTAAGCAACTGTAACTGTAACTTAGTGCTGTGATATGGAGACAACCCAAAATCCCAGGGCCAGTCAGTCTAGTCCATCAGTGGGCTTCAGGTTCAGATGAGAGATCCTGTCACAAAAATCAAGACTGAAACTGACAGTGGAAGACACCTGACATCAGTGCAGAACTTTAAGCACATATACATCCAACCACCCACAGCTGCCCACACAGGAAGCCAAGATTCTAAGGGCCATCCTCAATAGCTGATTTAGAGTTTAAAACTGATTCTTTCAGGGCGACGGTGGTGCACATGTTAAACCCAGCACTAGGGATTGAAGGTAGGTAGATGCAGAAGGATCTCTGTGAACTAGAGGCCATTTTCCAGAGCAGTGAAGTAAAGTACTATTTATTTTCTCTAGGTAGAAGAAAAGTGAACATCATTGAGCAAGCACTCATCAAAAGAAAGAACTTTCTAACAATCAAGAATGGCAAAATCTAGAACTTGAGAGACGGCTCAGTGGTTAAAAACACTGCTCTCAGTCAGGCAGTGGTGATACACAACTTTAATCCCAGCACTCAAGAGGCAGAGGCAGGCGAATCTCAGTGACTTCAAGGCCAGCCTAGTATACAGAGTGAGTTCCAGAATAGGTTCCAAAGCTACAGAGAAACCCTGTCTTGAAACACCAAACAAACAAAACACTGCTCTTGCACAAGATACAGGTTCGATTCCCAGAACCCACATGGTAGCTTAAGATAGTTCCAAGGAATCCAATGCCCTCTTCTGACTTCCTCAGGCACCAGGCATACACACAGTGCACATATATACAAGCAGGCCAAACACTCATACACATTAAAAAAAGAAAAAAATCTTAAGACAAAACAAAACAAAACCCCCCACAATACTGAAGCCAAAACCAGAATGGTACATATTTGTAATTCCAGCACTCAGGAAGCTGAAGCAAGAGGATTGCTATAAATTTGAGGTCAACAAAGGCTACACAAAGAGAATCAGACCAGCTAAAGCTTTAAAATGAGACTCTGTCTCTAAACCCCAAAACAATAGTCTCCATAAAATAAAAGAACACCCAAGCCCAGTATGAATATTCTTTTTTTTATTCTTTTTTTTTAAATTTAGATAAGAAACAAGGTTGCTTCACAAGTCAGTTCCAGGTCCCTCTCCCTTTCCCTCCCCTCCTCCCGTGCCCTCCCCCACCCTCCCCCCCAGTATGAATATTCTTATGGAGCACTGAGTTTCTTGACATCTGGTATTGATCGAACAGAGATATGTAAAGGTCTGTCAGAGATGTTACACAAATAAGACACATGACCACCTGACTATAAAATTTCCCTAATCAGGATGATATAATTTTATTACCTTTTCATTCTATCATCTAATGACAGAAAATGAAAAGCGGATTTTGATTTTCCCCAACCACAATAGTATTTTCAAGTTCTTTTAGTAAGTGAAAACCATGTATGCATTCAAGAGGGATTGACAATCAGAATACAATGTCTTTTCTGTCTGTTTCAACTTACATTCTATAGATACATAATTTTATTTTGTTTTTCTCAGGGCTGAGGACCAAACCTAGGATTTGTACTTGCTAGGCAAACACTCTACCACTGAACTAAACCCCCAACCCTCATGTTTTATTTGGATACTTTTTAGTTATTGTGTGAGTTATAGGTGCACATGTGCCAAAGCACTCAGAAGTTCGACCACGGTGTCTTGAGTCCTTGTTGAGGGACTGGTTTCCCCTGCTGTGCTGCTTACTACAGACTAACTGGCCTGAGAATTACCAGCCGAATCTCCTGCTCCGACATGAGGATTCCAGATGCATGCCTGGTGCTTAACCATCTCCCAGGCCCATTTATATGTTTAGAAAGACAGGGTCTCATGTAGCCCAGGCTGCCCTAAAACCTGCTCTCCTGCCTTCATCTCCTAAGAGCTTGGATTACAAGAATTTGCCAGGATGCCCAGCTCCTACAGTCTTTCCAAGGGTAATTATTACCTTGAGAACAACTCTTAGAAGCAGAAGAATATGCATGCTCTGCACAGAATGAAGGTGCCGTCCACATGTGAGTCACTACTTCCTCAGACTTGATGGGAATTTCTTCATCACAAAAGAGATTGGGTTCTAGACTACTGGAGGACTTCACACTGGCTGTATCCTACGGAACAAAGAGAAGTTATCAGAATTATAACCACTTATTCTACAAAAACTTATAAATGAATGCTTTCAGGTTAAAAACTTCTGATATAAGACACTAAAAACATGAAATTAAGATTAACTATGATATTAATATAGAGAATTACAACACACACACACACACACACCTTAAATAACTTGAGCCCAAAAGGGAAAGTCAAACTAAAAATAATCTACAAAGATCCACATTAAATTACCTACCAAAATCTATTTAATTCCATATAAACATCCTTACTAACAAGAATCCTTCAATTTTTTTTATTTTTAGTTATGTATATGTGTGTGTGACTGTACATTTGATTACAAATACCAATTGAGGTCAAAGATATTGGTTCTTCTTGAGCTGGAATTACAGGTGGTTGTGAGCTACCCAATGTAGGTGATGGGAAACAAACTCAGGCCCTCTTCAAGAGAAGTATGTGCTCTTAACAGTAGAACCATCTCTCCAGCCCCAAGTTAGTAATTCATGATCTTTTCTTTTATTCTCTACCCAAGGCAGAGTTTCTCTGTGTAACATTCATAGTTGTCCTGGAACTCAATTTGTAGACCAGGCTGGCCTCGAACTCACAGAGATCAGCCTGTCTCTGCTTCCCAAGTGCTGGGATTAAAGGTGTGTGCCACCACTTAAGAGGAAGAAGGAAAGTTCAAATGTGAAATTTTAATCCCTTCTAAAGGTTTTCGAATCCACATACTCTTGCCAAGTGCCCTTATGTAATACAATGAAGAATTTGAATGGCAATAAACAAGTTATACAATTCTTCTATACAGTTCTAGCTAGGTTTCAGATGATTTCCAGGGACTTTTCTTCATCTTTATTATCACTTCAACTTTAAGTTTAACATCCGAGTTTCGGTAATTTTGGCCATTTTCTTTCCTGTGGTTGTAATAGTTTTCTTTAGTGTTAGTAAGTATATTTCTATGTTTGATTTGTCTAATCACAGAGTGCCTTCTTCTCTCTGAGTGGTACTGGGCACTGAGTTACTGCTCACTGAAAAAAGAAACCCCAAATAAAATCAGAAGAGGTATGTGAATCTATGTCTATTGATTTCAAGGCTAGCTTAGTCTAAATATTGAGTTCCAGGCCAGCTAGGACTTCATAGTAAAAACTCTGTCTCAACAAAAGAAAAAGGAGAAAAGGAAAGGGAAAGCAATGGATACAATAAGATAGGGCCGCGACTACCTCAGCAGGTAAGGGTACTTGTTACCAAGAATGATAAGTACGATCCCAAAGACCCATGTGGTGGAAGGAGAACTGACTTCCAAAAGTTGTCCTATGACCTCCATGTAAGTGTCATGGTGTGAATGAGTATGTGCACACAAACAAATGTGATTTTAAGAAATTTAAAATAAGGTGATGGCTTCTTGAGCAACCATATCCAAGATTAACTTCTGGTATCTACACACATGCATACTCAACCATATACATGACTGTACACTCACACATACCCACACAAGACTCCGCCACAGAATTTTTAGATTTGAGAGATGGTTAAGTGGCTAAAAGCACTTGCTACTTTTGCAGAGGACTGGGGTTTGATTCTCAGGCAAAGTACTCATACACATAAAAAAATAAATAAATAAAATAAACTTTTAGATATGGTAAATGCTTTAAGCAAGCAGTAGGACACAAAATCAACAGAAAAATCAGTAGCTTCAGCTGGGAGATGGGTCACAGTCATTAAAATGACTCAAACACAAGAACATTGAATCTGATCCCCAGTTTCTATGTAGAAAAATAAAGTCAGATATGGCAGCACACCAGTGCTCTAAGAGCTGGGGAGATGGAGACAGAAAAAGTCCTGGGGCTTTCTGGCCCTAGGTTGTGGAGATGGCTTTGTAGATAAAAGTGTTTGCTGCAGGGCTGGAGAGATGGCTCAGAGGTTAAGAGCACTGGCTGCTGTTCCAGAGGTCCTGAGTTCTGTTCCCAGCAACCACATGGTGGCTCACAACTATATGTAATGAGATGTGGTGCCCTCTTCAGGCCTGCTTGTATACATGCAGACAGAACACTGTATAATAAATAACTAAATAAATCTTTAAAAAAAAAAGTGTTTGCTACAAAAGCATGATGACCAGAATTTAGATCCCCAGAACTAATGAAAAAACCTGAGTAGGCAAGGCAACCATCTGTGTTTGGAAGAGAGACAGAATTGTTGGCGCAAGATAACTTGCTGGAATCTGAGAACTCCAGATTTAACAAGCAATCTTGAACCATCAGGAAAGTGGCCCAGAAAGGCCTCTCCACAACATCAATCTCAGACCTCTACATAAAAATGCTCGCACAAAACCACTGACCAGGTGGCGGTGGCACACATCTTTAGTCCCAGCACTTGGGAGGCAGAGCAGGCAGATTTATGTGAATTCGAGGCAGCCTGGTCTACAGAGCTACAGGACAGGCAGGACTACACAAAGAAATCCTGTCTTGGAAAAACAAAACAAAAAACCAACCAAAAGCAAACAAAAGCCAGTCAGTGGGCACAGATGCAATGCCTCCTAATCTCTGAAGAATGCCTCTATATCAGAGTACCAACCTCCCAGCTTAAGAGGCACAGATACTAAGAGAGCAACCAAGTTACACATAAAACCACCACCTACTTCTAGGTCTCTCTCTACATCCAGATGTTATCATGAGGCAAAACCCAAAGGGCTTACATCTAACACAGAGTGGCAACGAAAGGTCAACTGGATCTAACACAAAGGTGTTGAAGTCAGTGTAATGTCACTAACAAAACAATCGTACTAATGTTAATTTGTTCTGACCATAACTGTACCCCTGTAAATCCTAACCAGGGCAAAGTACTACACTGTATCTAGCACTCTCTGTGTAAAGAGACAAGAAGAATAGAACAGGTTCCTACTAGGGAACTACTAAAGCTTGGGCCAGAAATCCTCAAGCAGAAAACCTTTGCCTCCACCAAAATATAAGTACTGGAATGCTTCAACCTAATACCACAGAGTTGCAGCCCTGCAGCCTTATAATCCAAGGCTATGTCCAGAACCCAACACTGTTTAATCAGAACCTTTAACTAATTGCACAGCAGGGAATGCATAACTAGAAATTACCTGTACAGCTCATACTAACCTTCCAAGACCAACACTAGCCAATTTTAACTGTTTTTATTTATATTGTGGAAATTACATATTGGAAACTGAACACAAGTAACTACTCTAACTGCACAAGAATATCTTCTTGTAGACTGTCATCTTGTGTTACAGAAAGTCTGTTACAGCCTAACCCTTTGCCCCGTGCAATGTAGCTTTTTTAAAAAGATTTATTCTTTTTTATTTATGTTTATGTGCATGTGTGAAGGAGCCTATAGAGACCAGAAGAGTACCGGATTCATGGAATTTGAGTTATAGACATTTATGAGCTTCCATGTGGGTACAGGGAACTAAATCCAGGTCTTCTGTAAGAGCAGTGAGCAGTAAGCACTTGTAGCACCTATATCCACCAGCTCTCATTTCCCCAACTGCATAGTTTTCTATTACATGAAAGGTGAATTCATTCAGTCACCAATCCCTTTCCCACCAGTAGTATCCATCACTCTATGCAGAAAAAGAGAGACGGGAGCAAAAGACTCTTAGCACATCTAGGGTGGGATGGTCAGATGCTGGCTAACTAAAAAGGGTTTTACTAAGCAGCCTGTCTGGTCTGGAACTCACTATTTAGACTAGGCCAGCCTCTGCATCCCAACTGGTGGGATTAAATGTTAAATGCCTGGCAGGCCTGGGGCTTTTGTTTTTTTTTTTTAATCAGACACAATTTCTGTGTAGCCTGTCATGGAACACTGTAGCCCAGGGATCTGCCTTCCTCTGGGATTCTTTAACCCCACCTCTGGGATTCTTAAAACCGTACAGGCCAGGCATTGGTGGTGCACACCTTTAATCCCAGCACTCAGGAGGCAGAGGCAGGTGGATCTCTGTGAGTTCGAGGCCTGCCTGGTCTACACAGCGAGTTCCAGGACAGCCTCCAAAACAATATAGAGAAACCCTGTCTCGAAAAACCTGACCACTTGGGTGGGATCCCTGGAATCCACATAATAGAAGGAGAAAATTGAATCTGCCAAGTTGTCCTTTGACCTTATAATAGCCATAGCAGAGGCACTTCACCATAAATGTAAGATTTTTTTTAAAGTTTCAGGTTTTTTTTCAAGCTTTGAAAAACTGTTATCACCACATACTCAAGACTTTTATGTAAGTAGGTTTCTCTTCCACCCTCAGTCCTCAAGTATTAATGTTCAACAATTTTAAAATAGAACTCACCAGAAATGTATTCCTACCCTGCCCCTGTAATTACCTTCATGTCATAGCCATATGTCTCTCGAATATCTTCATCAGAATCTGTTTCCTCGTCATCATAGTCCAGTGTTTGGCGGGGAGAAGATGACACACTGCTTGCCACCCGGTTGAAAGCAGATTGCTGGAAACTAGGTAAATGTCCCTAAACAACAAAGATGAACAGACAAACAGACTAAAGAAACAGGTAATTAATATATACTTAACATCAATGAAATGTAGCTAGCTTACTTAAAAAGCAGCCAGCATAAAATAAATAATGCTACAGTCTACTTGAATATTTTCAGATAGTATTTTGATGAAATGACCTGAAGAGAAGCAAGGTCGTGTATGCAGAAGAAGAGGTGATGTTACTAGTCAAACTGACAAATACTACCACATGAAACACAAGGTAAATTAGAAGCTGACCTGTAAGTCTGGATTAGCAGCTGCTTTTTGGAGTTCTGCACTGATAATCTTTTCAGTTTTTTCTCGAGCTGCTTGTTCCACCATACGTTGACTTAACACAGAGAGTTTGGCCAGGGCAGAGGACAGTTCATCTGTGGCTAAAGCTTGCCGTGCTCTATCTTGCCAACTCATGGCACGTTCTGTCAAACACTGAAGTGCCTCTCCTTCAGGCAACCGTACAGGCAACTTCTGAAGGGATACCAGCAATGACAGAATAGTCTCTAGCCTGGGCCTTCGCGATCTCATGCAAAGAGGGCAAAGGAATTTTACATCTTTAGCCTGCCAGCTGGATCCCTTTTTCTGGGAACTTGATTTAGGAAGGGGAACACAACTATTATGGAACCAGTCTTTGCAGAGTTCACACTGTAGCATAAACCCACTGGCTGTCTTCCGGCAAATACAAAATTTTACTTCTTCTATGCGGTCCACAATTGTCATCTTGGCTAGGTTGGCTGCTCTGAGGGAATGCATGGCCTCAATCTCTTTTTGCTCTCGTTCTTTGAAAACTGCCACCTGTACACAACAAGCATTTAATTAAAAAGAGTCATTCTAAAAACCTACAAAGTATCCAAGAATGCCAATGGCAATTTCCTGAAATTCCCTTCCAGCATCCTCATGAAGATTTCTCATTTGTAAACTACTATAATACTTGACATTTTTACATTAGAGTACTTTCTGTAGGTAGGGTACAGGATAAAGAGGATATTTCCTGAGATCAAGCACTTGCACCAAGTGCCTAGTATCAAGGTACCAGGAAACCAAGCCTGGCTCTTGGACTTAAAGACTATTGAACTGCGGCACAACTTTTCAGATTTCATTTTTCTGAAAAGTGTAGGCATGCCACCTACCATATTTTATTGTTTAAAGATTAAATACAATAATGCACCAAGGCATCTAATCTGATATCCAGAACATAAAGAGTAAGTAATGGTTTCCCATTCCCCAAGGGAAAGTTTGATACAGATAAACATTCTTACTTTCCTCTGGGAGACCTCTACTTATCATTGGAAGAATAAAGCCTGATGGATGATCTACTACAACAGTATCTCTAATACTAACTTTAACCCAATAAATAAGAACAAACAGAATTTTTTAATGGTTTTTTTGAGACAGGATTTCTCTGTATTGTTTTGGAACCTGTCCTGGAACTCACTCGGTAGACCAGGCTTGGTCTCAAACTCACAGAGATCCCCCTGCCTTTGCCTCTGCCTCCCGAGTGCTGGGATTAAAGGCGTGTACCACCACCGCCCGGCAAGAACAAATAGAATTTAAAGATTACAAACAGCATTAGCACATATTCTTTTTAAATTACTGGTAGCTCTGAAGCAATTAAGTATTTTCTAGTTCTACCTGCTGATAAGAATGACTTACTTGGCAAGCTCTCTAGTAAGACCATTTTCTTTGGCCTCAAAATTGGATTACTTATAGGCAGAAAGAATGGTATCACATTATTCAGTGCACGCAAACCCCTACAAATATTATTTCCCAAACTAATTTTTATTTTCACTCTACTTCTCAGGCTCCTAATAATCCCATTCCTCCTGTAAGTTTTTAAACAACACAATTCTTGTAACCACAAATATTTTACTGAGCACTCACTCTACTGCAAGATACTAATAAAAGAATGTTGAGAGGTTTGTAATGGTTATCAATAAACTGGCAGTTTCTTTGAAAATCATGACAAACTACTAAGAACCCTAAAGTGCTAACTCAGCAATTCTATTCCTACAGATCAAGAGTAAGAAATTATTTTTCAAAAAGAAATGGGCAGCGAATTCATGGAAAACACCAGTGCCTTTTATTCAGCTTTCCTAGAAACTAAAACTGCCCCCCTCAAAAGGCCAAATTTTAAAAATGCATTTAAAAGTAGCTTCAATCCATATCCATGTAGTTGTAATAATGTAAGGTGTTATTTCAAGATCGGGGGGGGGGGGAGAACTTTATATATTCTTATCACAAATAAATGATAAATATTAGAGGCTAAAAAAAAGATCCTACAAAGAAATTTATATTCTTATCTATAATAGAATAGAAAAAGCTTAGTAACAGACAAAATATTAAACTACGGGTGACTACTGAGCAGACAAAGGGTATATAATTCAATAGTAAAGCACTCTAGTATTCAAGAGATCCACATTTAATCCCAAGAGCCACACGCACAAAACCAACGATGACGCAACGTTTTCTAAGTGTTAAATGGAATTTTATAACTATTAAAAGAACAACAATAAAGAATAAATGTGGAGTTTGGGGATATAACTCAGTGAGACAGCATTTGATCAGGATGTGTCCATCCTAGTTTGATTCCTAATAGCAGCCAAAAATTAAATAAATAAAAGGAAGAAGGAAAAAGAATATAAAAAAGAAAAATAAACCCTTTTGGGAAGAGAACAAACAGCAAACTTCTTATACTATGATACATACACATACATATATATCAATAAAAAAACACAGGTAAATAAACAGTTAAAAACCTACTAACAGCCAGGCGTTGGTGGTCCACGCCTTTAATCCCAGCACTCGGGAGGCAGATGAAGGCGGATCTCTGTGAGTTCGAAGCCAGGCTGGACTGACAGCCTCCAAAACAGAGAAACTAACATCTTTCACAAAGCTTTGCATTCACAAAGCAAATTCAAGGCCCATCACTTAGTTCCTTACCACCATGGCTGTATCTCTGGTCTCCTCCAATCCTTCCTCTAAGTCACTCAAAGGCTCAAGGTCTAGGTCCTTCTCCTTTTCTTTTTCTATTATTTCTTTTGCTTTTTTCCTCCTGTTTTTACCACTCCCATATACACCAATGTCAGTTCGGGGACTTAGCACCTGTAAAATTAAAAAAAAAAAAAAGAAAATACAACTCTAGTTTAAAAACAAACAAACCAAAAAATTCAAAACCCTTGAGAGTGAAAGTAACCATGAATGGACACATTCACCATGTCCAAAGTAACTATTCATTCTCATATTCTAGAAGCAGGATCTTATTTTGTAGTTCAGGCTGGCCTACAATGTGTGGTGATCCTTTCGCCTCAGCCACCACACCATGCATGTTATTTGTTTAAATTTTCATAACAACTATACACAGCACACATTGTTTCCCAGATTTTATTTATCAGAGGATAAAGGTTTAAATTCTGAAGTCTGTCCTCTTTAACTATTGTGTTCAACGGCTCAGGATAAAAAGAATTATGTTTCTGAGGGATAAAATACTTCAGTAGAGTCTAATAACAGAGGTTGAGATATATGCTGGTTACTTTTTCTGGATACAGCACAGATTAATGAACTTGCCTAAGACTTTAGGTTTCAATTCAACATCTAATACTACCTAATAGAAATTAATTATAGGGCTGGAGAGGTGGCTCAGAGGGTAAAACTGCTCTTCCAGAGGTCCTGAGTGCAATTTCCAGCAACCACATGGTGGCTCACAGCCATCTACAATTCAATCTGGTGCCCTCTTCTGGTATGTATGCAGAACACTGTATATGTACAAAATATATACATCTTTAAAAAAATTAATTATAATAATGACTAAATTAACTGAAAAGAACCTTTCACCGATACCACTACAGGTAGAGATCTATCAACTACTGTGAGAGCGCTGGAGAACACACACACGAACTACTCTTCACCTGTAACAATGTATGGCTAGAATTCTTCTTAAGGAAGGTTCGCCCAGTCCGTTCTCTCCAGGCCCGTGCTGCTGCCACCTGTGACTCCACTTGAGGCAAAGCATCAAGACGCACAGGGATAGGGCGTCCTTTAGCAGACAAGTTCTCAAGCTGCTCTAAGTAAGCATAGTTGCTGCCACTCTGGAAAAAGAAAAAGTACAATTGCAATTCTTTCATGGAGTCTGGCAATATACTGCTGGAGAAACTTGGTTTAATATTGACTTTTTTTTTTGTAAATACGAAGCATGGAATGAATCCCAGGTCTTGTACACCAGGCAGGCACTGTACCACTAAGGGACATCTTCAGTCATAGTGCTAAATTTTGTGCTAAATCAACAATTGGATTGCTTTAATGAATTTAATTTCATTAAAAATTAAATGAAAAATTAATTTCATTTAATTTTCAGAAAAAGTTAATTTCATTTAACTTTCAGAAAAAGTTTATAAAAATTAATTTAAAAATTTATTTTCGAGGCAGTGTCTCAATTATGTAGCCCTGAATGGCCTAGAACTAACTCACTTTGTGGGCCAGGTTGGCCTCATACTCAACAGAGAGTCACTTCCCTCTGACTCACGAATTAATTTATATTTTTTTTATTTTTTATTTTATTATTATATTTTATTTGGTTTTTCGAGACAGGGTTTCTTTGTATTGTTTTGGAGGGTGTTCTGAACTCGCTCGATAGACCAGGCTTGCCTCTGCCTCCTGACTGCTGGGATTAAAAGCGTGTGCCACCACCGTCCAGCTCCAAATTTAATTTTTATGGACATAAAACTAAAAGCAGTATCTTAAATTGGATAACCACTTACTGCTTAGGTTATACAATGAAAGCTATGAGCAACTACTTTCCTCCTAATTCATGGTATTTTAGTTTTCTATGAAATGAAACCACTATTGTTTTTTAGAACCATTATATTATATTCTAGTAAAAGATTATTTCTCATGTAGCAACTGACATAATTGCCTGAAAATTTTATTTTGAAAGATATACTGACATATCTGGGAAAATAAAGACAAGGTATCTATGAATTTACACTGAGAGTGGTAGTGCATGTTTATAATCCCAGCACTCAGACAATAGAAAGTAGATTCAGAGTTCAAGGCCCACTTTAGCTACACAACGAATTTGAAGTCAGCTCAGGCTATATGAAATACTGTTTTAAAAAACAACCAAATAAATCAATGAATTCTATAAAATAATAGTACAGACACTGAGCTGAAGAGATGGCTCAGTGGTGAAGAGGTTTCTGCTCATGTAGAAGGAGCAGGTTCAGTTCTCAACACCCACATGTGTGTAACTCCAGTTCCTGGAAACACAACACCCTCTTCTAGCTTTTGTGGGCTTCTGCATGTATGTGGTACACATACATGCAATTAGGCACGAGTACATACACATAAACAATGATTTTAAATAATAACATACTCTGTTACTATGAATACTAAAATGGCACAAATCACTAGGGTAACCAGGATAAGAAGAGTTAGCTAAACACACAGATAAAAATGCTCAGCCATGGAAAAGCCAAATTATTGTCCCTAGACTACAGAATATTATCTGGATAAACCAAGAAGTCACATAACCTGAAGAGGAGTTGCCCTACTCAAAACAAAAACAAAAACAAAAAACAAAACAGCAAAACAAAAAACCTGCTTGATTAGAGCCTACAAGTCAGCACTCTACCAAAGGGAAGGACTGACAGACACTCCTTAAAAATTATTAAGGAGGTTAAGTCAGAAGTGGTGACACATGACTATAACCTCAATACTGAAGTGGCAGAGGCAAGGTAGCCTGTGCTACACAGTAAGTTCTACTCTGAATTTCAGGCTAGTCAGAGCTACACAGTGAGAACCTGTCTCAAAGAACAAAAAATTAAAAACAAATAATTTATATGCCAACTCCATCACTTTTAAATATTTACTATTTATTCTGAATTATAAATCAGAGGAAAGAGGGATGGAGAGATGGGCTCAGAGGTTAAGAGCACTGGCTGCTCTTCCAGAGGTCCAGAGTTCAATTCCCAGCAACTACATAGTGGCTCACAACCATCTGTAATGAGATCTAGTGCCCTCTTATAGCCTGCAGGGATACATGCAGGCAGTATACTATACACATAATAAACAAATAAATAAATCTTAAAAAAAAAAAAAAAGAGGGAGGACAGGTGAACTTTAGGTACTATCACTTTTTTTTCTTCTCAAGACAGGGTTTCTCTGTGTAGCCCTGGCTATTATAGAACACCTCTGTAGACCAGGCTGGCCTCCAACTCATAGAGATCCACCTGCCTCTGCCTCCCAAGTGCTGGGATTAAAGATGTGCTACCCTACTGCCCAGTCAGGTACTATTAATTTATTATGATTATTCTAAAGAAGTAAGGTTTACACAGCTTAGTTACGAGAATGTATTATTACCTGGCAGAAAGGCTAAACCGAAAGTTTCCTTACCTGAATAGCTTCCACTTTAGCTGTCCATTCACGAGCCTTTTGTAAGGCTTCTTTTAAGGACAACACATTGGGTAGAAAGGCTGGAATGTTCTTGGCTTCATTCACAATATTTTCTAAATTTGCCATACTGTGTCGAGGTCTAAATGAATAAAATGTTAAGATACTAAGTAAAAGTCCAATTACTGTAAGAATTAAAGTAACATAATGTGTAAATCACTCATGTTCATGAACTTATTTAATTATCACATTCCTATAAGCAAACAAAGACGCTATCATCATTTTTATTCTACAGACAAGAAAACAAAGAGTCATTCCTCTTAAAATAATAAAATACATGACACACCTGGTGCATTGATTTAGAATGAGTCTTGGATCTAGGCTCCTTTTACTTAGTCCTAGACTACCTCCACACTACCTCTCTAAAATACCTGCAATGATCAGAGATGGGCATGGACTAGCAACATAGGGAACAATAAAACAAAAACCCATTTGTGCTGACTATATACTTTCCTTCGACTGTATTCATTAATACCTAATTATTCACTGGTGAACAAAACAAAGACCTCATTCTCATTAATCAAAATCCAAGAATTATACTGGTACTGGAAACTAGGAACAAATAAATTACTTTAGGTTCACAGCCATGGTGAGCAGTAAATAATTCTGCCTAGAGAATTGAAAGTCTTGGAAAACCAAGACCCTAAATAAGTACATTATCGAATGAAAGAAAGTAGACAAAAAGCATGGATAAGTTTTGTTTTTTAAGTTGGCAGTTTTAGCCTGAGATGACACAGAACTAGTATGTGCTTCAATGAGCATTTTGTACTTCTTATTTCCTAACTGTATCAACAACATAGACTTGAAACTTACACTATTTCCTATCAATAGCAGTTACCTAACAAAACCCACTACACAACAGTATGGATATATCTGAAACTCGCTACAGATAGCCCTATGTGATAGCTAGTGATTGGTCAAAAAGGATCAAGACAAGTAATGTAAGTTAATGAAACAGGCTTGCTTTATGTTCCTTCATCTCATTCTACTTTTTTACTTACTTTTAAAATTTATTTTAGGTGTATGGGTGTTTTCTCCTGCGTATGTGTCTAAAAGGAGGCCAGAAGTAGATACAGTATTCTGTAGATAAAGTTACAGATAGTTGTGTGCTGCCTTGTTTTGGGACTTGAGCCCAGGTCCTCTGGAAAAGCAACCAGTGCTCGTAACCATCTCTTTACTCCTTGTTTTAAGTTACTAAAGAGACAAATGTCACCAAATGTTTTTACCTTGCTTGTAGGCAGACCTTAGCCTTCTCTTCCCATCGTTCAGAGACTGTGAGGAGCTCCTGCAGTTCAGCCATTGCTTTTTCCACAGCATGGTGAGGTGCCAATCCTACCCCAGAGTCAATCAGTTTCTTCATGACATCCAAAGTGACTTGCTGTGGATCTGACAAGGTTAGTCTTACTTCATCCAGCCACCGAGCCTGCTGTAGCTCTTGCTTTAGTCGAGGCAATTCAGGTAGTTCTACATAGAGACTAGAGCCCATGTCTATCAACATCTGGAGTTTGGAAGAATCTGGGGTTTCATCCATCATGGCCTCCTGGGCACGTTCATGAAATTCTTCTACATCATCCAGCAAATTCTGAAAAGGCAAAAAATAAAAATAAAAACAGCAAATTTTGTTTGAAGCTATAGCTAATTAGTTAAAGAGTACTGGCCTAGCAAATGCAAGGCCTTGGGTTTGCTCCCCAATCCTAACACTACTATTAAAAATAAAAGAATAAGGGATAGAAATAGGTTTGGAAAACTATCAATTCTAGGCCCTCTTATAATCTCACTATATTAGCACAAATATTCAGACAAGTATGTTAGCTGGCATCTAATTTCTTTCTATACTCCCTTTTAAAAAGATTACTTACATGTATGAGTGTTCTACCTACATGTTTGTCTGTGTGTGCGCGTGCACGTGCGTGTGCACATGTATGCATGCAGACACATGCCTGGTGTCCTCAGAGGGCAGAACAGGACATCAGATCTGTAAGCTACCATGTGGCTACTGGGATCCAAACCTGGGTTCATCCTTTAGAAGAGGAACCAGTGCTCTTTACTGCTAAGTCACTCCCCAGTTCCCATCTATACAATGAAAATATGGCTGAATCAATGTGTCTTTTTATGACAAGGGAAATACAACCGATTCATTCAATGGATAGTAAATGCCTACTATCTTAGAGGCACTGTGTAGCATATAGTACAGAGCAAGGTGGTTTCTTGGAAGTCATTGCAATCAAAGCACCAGCTTATGTCCCCTTTTCCTCCCTTTCTTTCTTGGGGATGAGGGGAAGGGGAGCATGCCATGGAGATGAAAAGACAACTTGTGGGAGGTGGTTTCTAACCTAGATTACGTGGGGCTCGGGGATGACTCAGGTTGTCCAATTTGGTGGCAAGCACTTTTACATACTGAGCCATCTTGCTAGATTCCATACATTCTAATATTGGTAATATATATATATATCTAATATATATTTAGATACCTAATTTATCTAAATAAGATATTTCAATTAGTTACATATTCTAAACATAAAATAGGGCAACCTAGCTGGTCGGTGGTGGCACACGCCTTTAATCCCAGCACTCGGGAGGCAGAGGCAGGCGGATCTCTGTGAGTTCGAGGCCAGGTGGGACCAACAGCCTCCAAAACAATACAGAGAAACTCTGTCTCGTAAAACCAAAAAAAAAAAAAAAAAAGGCAACCTAATAGAGAATGACCAAATGTGAAAGGTGAAAAAAGGCATATTAGCTACCAGCAGTAACTATATATGACAGCAAATCAAAACTAAAAGGATTTAAGGAGATGGCTCAGTAGATAAAGTGTTTGCTATATAAATGTGAGGACCCACATAAAGGTGGGGCAGAAATGGTAGCCTGCTTGTAATACAAACACTTGGGAGTTAGAGAAAGGGAATCCCTAGGGCATACTAGCTATCTGGACCAGCTTAAGTTTCAGAAAGAAACCCTGCTTCAGTAAATAAAGTGGAAAGAGACCCCACCTCATCTGTACAAATGTGTGTCCACATATAAACATATGTATGTAAGTTCATGCACATCATAGAGGGAGGGAGGGAGAAAAGAAGAGGCAAAGATTAAATGAAGAACTGGGGTGAGAATGCAGGTCTCCATGTATCCCAAGGTGACCTTGAACTTCTGACTCTCTGTGATGGCTATTCATGGCTGCCAATTTGACTATATCTGGAATGAAGTACAGTCCAAAAACACAAAAGTAAATATATCTATTTCTATCTAGCCATCCTCAGCAATGAGAAGGAACAATGAAAAGCTTTAGTTTACATGGATATAAAGAGGCAAGTTCCTATTCTTTCTGATTGCCTAGAGGCCTTACTGGTCAGCTTTATTATGTCTCTCAGAAGCCTCAAGAAAATTTAATGAAAAATATAAGGTCAGAGAAAGAAAGATCCATCCCCTAAGCCCTATGAATCTAGAGAAACCTGACTAATATACCCTCCTATATCTACCTCTTAAGTACTGGGATTATAGGTGCTTATTACCTTACTGTTTTTTTGTTTGTTTTGGGTTTTTGTTTTTGAAGACAATGTTTCTTTGTGTAACAGCCCTGGCTGTCCCAGAACTAGCTCTGTAGATCAGGCTGGCCTCAAAATCAGAAATCCTCCTGCCTTTGCTTCTTGAGTGTTAGGATTAAAGGCATGCGCCACCATCGTCCAGCCCACTATTAAATAATAATAGTCAGAAATATCAGAGTCTCAATTTAAAAGTTTGATTCCTATCACCCACACGGATAACAACCACCTGTAACTACAGCTCTAGGGGAATATGATGCTCTCTCCTGGCCTCCATGGGTACTGCACATATAATGCACAGGTATACACGCAAGCAAACCAATTTAAAAAAAAAAAAGCTTACTAAAGAACATTAGATAGCATATGTATATGAGAAAAAGGAAATCAATGGACCAAACACTAGTCTATGCATACAATTCTCTTAAGTTGGAACAGAAGCTCACAAACAAAAGCCATTATTAAAAAAAAAATTTAATGTTTCACCTTTACTTGTCGAGTTTGGCTGATGACACACGGAAGACTAAAAAGTTGCTGGACAAAGGCCTTCAATTCTTCTACTGTCAGTTTGGTCCGAGTCTTCCCACTATCTGAGCTCTGCCTGATATGAAATAATATTGAGACATAGAAAAATACAGTCATTTTGGTATCGAATGGGGGTCCTGCTCTCTTTGGAATACAGAAATCTCAGCAGTCTTAAAATTCTACTGTTTAATAATTCCTCTGTAGATAATTAAAAATACATTTTGCCTAGTCACAGTCCTTCCAATCTATAACTGCTATACGTTTGAAACATTAAATAAATTCCCATGGTGGAATATTAAGTTCACTGAGAAAATGAAATCCCTATGTCTTAAAGAGGCTCACACTGGGACACAGGGTTTTCAGCTACCTTAGACCAATGAATCCCCTGAATCTATCCCAAATTCCTTTCTGTTTTAAAGAAATTTTTATTTTATGTGTATGGATGTTTTGCTTGCATGTATATCTGTGTACCACATGAGTGCAGTACTCAGAGAGTAAAGAAGAAGGCATCAGGTCTCCTGGAACTGGAATCATGCTGGTGCTAGGAATTAAACTTGGGTACTCTGAAAGAACGGTCATTGGTTTTAACCACTGAGCCATCTCTTCAGTTCTGAATATCTTTTACGTATATATATTTTTTCAAAAAGAGTCCTCAAGGCTTTACCAGACTCTCCAAAGAGGCCAGTGTCCTAAAATTAAGTTAATGTTCACTGTTAAACGTCTCTAGCAATGGTTCTCTAATTAGATTTAAAAAAATAAAATGAAACTTAAAATCTAATGAAAAGTACTATAGAAAAAGCCACATAGAGGAATATATTAAGTAACTATAATATAATACCACAGAAAATGTTTGTAAAAAGAGGAAGGATGAAAGGAGAAAGAAGTATTCAAGCCATCTAGATGTGGCAGGAAGAAAACTCCAAGTTCAATGAAGAGCAAATAGAAATCCCTAAACAAGAGCGTATATGACATGTATCAAGAACAGCAAGTCAAAGAGTGCTGCAGAATGGGACAAGAGTTTATCAAAGAATGTGAAATTAGAAATAGAACTTCTCCTTAATAAGTAAATCAGTTCTAATAAAAGGTAGAAAATAAAGTTAAGCACTTGAACTCAATTTTTTTTGTTTGGTTTTTTTTTTTTTTTTTCTTCCCAGAGACAGGGTTTCTCTGTGGCTCTTCTGGAACTAGCTCTTGTGGACCAGGCTGGTCTCTCAAAGTCAGAGAGATCCGCCTGCCTCTGCCTCCCTAGTGCTCAGATTAAATGCATGCACCACCACTGTCTGGCCTGAACTCATATGTTATTAAGTATCTTGACCCATGTTATTAAGAAACCTTAATCTGCGAGGTATTGTAGTGCACGCTTTTAATCCTAGCATTCATGAGGTACAAGCTGGTGGCTCTCTGTAAGTTTGATTCTATTTGTCTATGTTCTTAATTATTTCAAATAAAGTTGAATATATAGCTAGGTCTTTGTCCATAAACTTCAGTGTTATTTTCAGCATTGAAATAAGCAGGTCTACTTGCTATTTTCTTGATGTAGTTTACAACTCACTTAAATTTAAAGAGCTTTTTACAATTTATGAACATGGGAGAAAGGGATGGGGTGGAGAGGAAGAAGAGACATGACTATGGGATGAAAAATAACAGAGGGCCTCAAAGGCCACAGGGCCTCAAAGGGCAGTTAAACCTGGAAGAACAAGAATCCAGGGCAGAGCTATACTCTTCTTAGGTTTACCTGTGTTTTTGCTTTTTGCTCAGAAGCAACTGAGCCACAGAACCACAGGTCTCAGCTTCTTTCACTGCATCCCTGAGCTTTCGAAAGAGATCATTCTCTGGGTATTTCCTGTCCTCAGCATCTTCCAGCATTACTTTCAATTCAATCAAATCTGAAAGATAAATATGACGATAACTACAAAAGCCATTCTACAATAGTCACTAAACTTACTGAAGTCATTAAAATACAGTCTCCAACATAAAAGCTTCTGACCAGATGCTTATTCCACATAGATGACTTCACTCAAATAAGATACGGTTGATCTCTCTCCGCCATCCCTATTCCCTTCCACCCTCACCCTCTGTCTCTCTAACACAATAAAAAATTAAAGGCTTTCAGTACATTGACTCTCTAAAATACCTACTACAACTTATCTGTCTCATTCTATGTCTTTCCATTTAAAATGGGATTCTTACTGGGTGTGGTGACATAGGCATATAATCTTAGCAATGACACCAAGGGAAGAAAGGCCATGAAACTGGGGACAGACAGGACAACAAGGCACATTTCCAGATCAAAAAAGACTATCTTAGAACTAGGCATAGCCTACATTCATTATTACAGACGGTAATTTTATTTGGTCTGTTTAGTACACAGATGAAATAAAATAAGCATATATTCAACTATGACATTATAAGCTAGGACTTCATTTGTTAATGGAGAACAAAAACATACAATTAAAGTTTTTTTTAAGTTACAATTTTTTATAACGAAGGAGGAAACTTACCTTTCTTATGGTTGAAGCTAGCTGATAATGCTTCTGTAACACGATTGACCCAAGTGTCATAGGACTGTGCCCTCACTTTTACACCATAAAGTAGAGAAGGGAGGTCTTCTAGTGGATAGCGGTACCTACAAAAAAAAAAAAATATATATATATATATATATATATATATATATAAAGGTAAAAGCTTCAAATTATAACAACCTGAAATAAGAGAAAAATCAAAGAAACTCAGTTTCAGTGTAGAGATTGGCAAGACACGCCCAACATTAACTGCTCAAAAAACTATACAGTTAGGCTGGCTAGTCCTTCATTTGGGAAGTCAAGGAAAAGTTATTTAAGGTACAGAATAGAAAGCAAAGAATAGCATCAAGAAGTTGGTGTTTTTTTTTTTGCCAGGTGGTGGCACACACTTTTAATCTTAGCACTTCGGAGGCAGTTTGAAGCACATAACAAGTTCTAAGATAGCCAAGGCTACACAGAGAAAGCTTTTCTCAAAAGCAAACAAACAAAAGTATAATGTGCTATAACTTTTAAATACCTAAGACATTTGTTCTGCATGGGACAGGAACACAAATCAGCTGGATGGTACAGACATACAAGTCTCTCTGGATTACAGGAGCAGGTGAGAGCTGAGAGAAAACATGTGGTTCTGCATGCTGAACACTGTCGCTCATCATCAGGAACAAGTTCAAAAACCTCTTCTTCTGACATCACCACACCCTGGAATATAATTTACATCATCAGATCAGGTCTCAACTGTTAACAAAGCAGTAGATTAAAAAGAATTAAAAATTAGGTGTGGCAACACACTCTTTTAATCCTAGCACTCAGAAGACAGAAGCAGGCAGATCTCTGTGGGTTTCAGGGCAGCCAGGACTACACAGTGAGATCTTGTCTTAAAAAAAGAAACAGTATAAAAGATTAAGAAAAGGTCAAAAAGTTAAAACCCCAAAAATAGCATTTGAGGAAATAAGGGAGAAGACGCTCACCCTTACAAGAGTAGTCTGATCTGACAGTCTAGAATCCCACAACTTGGATGAAACAAAGGAAAAAAAAAAAAAAAGCCACTACCAACAACCCTGGATTTAATTTTTTTTGTTTAAAGTAATTAATATTAGGTGGCCAGCTAGATGGCTCAGTGGGTAGAGGTGCTTGCAAGAAGGCCTGATTTCCTTGAATTCAATGTCCAGATTCCACAAGGCAGCAGGAAAGAACCAACTTTTGAGAGTTGTCCTGACTTCCACATGCACCATGGAACATAGATGCTTACATTCACACACATTTATGCATAAAATCATTCCAGTCAGAAGGCTCACATCTGTAATCTGAGCACTTAAAAGGCCAAAGCAAGAGTGCTGCAAGGACTGCCACAGCTTCAAGGACATTCCTGGTTTCATAGTCAGCTCTAGGCCAGCCTGAGTTAAGGGGAAGAATCTGGCTCAAAATAAAATGAAAAAATGGGGGCTGGAGAGGTAGCTCAGTGATCAAGAGCACTAACAGTTCTTGCAGAGAACCTAGGTTCAGTTCCTATCACTCACCTGATGACTCACAATTGTGTCTAATTCTAGTTTCATATCTGACAACCTCTTTTGGCCTCTGTGGGTACCAGGCACAAATTTAGTGCATAGGCAAAACACTGACTGACATACACACTCACACATCAAATTTCAAATCAGAATGGCTACGATCAAGAAAGCAACTGGGGCTGTAGAGACAGCCCAGTGGTTAAGGATACTGGGTTTTCTTCCAGAGGACCTGGACTCGGTTTCCAGCACTGACATCATTCACAACTATTTGTAACTCTGGTTCCAAGGGATTCACCACCTTCTTCTGCCCTCCAAGGGCACTGCATGCATGTGCTGCCCATACATACATTCACGCAAAACACACATACACACCAGAAACAAAACAAACAAATAAACAAAACAATAGATGTGGGGAAAAGGAAAACCCTAACTCACAACTCACAGCTGGTGGAACTGCAAATAGTTCAGTCAACTGGAGAATTCTCAAAAAGCTGAAATAAACCTTCTCTATGACCAAGTTATACTACTACTTGGCACATGCCCAAAGGACTTGACATTCTTTTCTGTAGATATTTGCTCAGCCGTGTTCACTGCTGCTTTATTCACAATAGCTAAGGAATGGCAACAACCTAAATAACCTTCCTTCAACTGATGAATAGATAATGAAATTGTTTCTCATATAGACAACAGAATTCAGCTATAAGAAAAATAAATTCATGAAATTTTCAGGAAAATTGGAAAGAACTAGGAAACATTATACTGAGTGAGGAAACCCAAACCCAGAAAGACACTCTGTAAGTTCTCTCTTATTTGTGGCTCCTAGCTCTGAATCTTCAGATATAAGTAACCTAGACAAACCACAGAAACCAGGAAAATAAAAGAGGATCACAGTGGGGTGACGGTGTGGGCACAACTCTAGAGAGAATAGCAGTACACACGTGTTATGAAGGGGGAAATAGAAAATATGGGGGGAGAGGGGCAATACTGAGGGAGAATGGACAAAGAGGGATAAATAACAATGAGGGTATGTGTATAAGTCATAGAGAATCACACTATCTAAAATTATATAAAATATACACAAATATATATACACACATATATACATATATGCACGTATATACACACTCCCAATAAGACACACAGTTTAGGGCTGGAGAGATGGCTCAGAGGTTAAGAACACTGGCTGTTCTTCCAGAGGTCCTGAGTTCAATTCCCAGCAACAACATGGTGGTTCACAACCATCTGTAATGAAATCTGGTGCCCTCTTCTAGACTGCAGGTGTACATGGAGGCAGAGTGCTGTATACATAATAAATAAAATCTTTAAAAAAAAAAAAAGGCACACAGTTTAAATGTTAGACTGTGTGGCCCATGCCTTTAATCCCAGCACTCAGGAGGCAGAGGCAGGCGGATCTCTGTGAGTTCGAGGCCAGCCTGGTCTACAAAGTGAGTTCCAGGACAGCCTCCAAAGCTACAGAGAAACCCTGTCTCGAAAAACCAAAAAAACAATAGCTATTTAAAAGAGGAAAGAAGGTAGGAAAGAAATGTACCCAGCATACTCACCATTTGTACAACTGATTCCCTTAATTTTGTTTCTTCTTCAGTCATGAGAGTCAACTCTTTGCAAACCATGGCAGCCAGCCCTACATCTAAGCATTCTGGATCAGCTGCCATCTTGAAAATGAGTTCCTCGTGTGAAAAGACACAATGGCGCCTCAGCCGTCGGTAGTGATTTACACACTGACGTCCAATGGGCAACTGAAAAAAAAAACAGATTTCCAAGTTAAATTACTTATGAAAATATTCTAGCACAGAGCTTCAATTACCTCCAGGTACTCACTTTTACTATAAAGAAGAAAAGTTAATCCTATCTGAACATAAAACAACATAAATAGCAATTCTATGTAACCCAGCCAAAATTTCACAAATCTTCTGCTAGATGATACCCATAAGCTGAGATGCTAAGTTTCTGCCCTAAGATGTAGATTTTCTAACTCACTGTATATACCAAGAAAATGAAGAAGGCTGGGCGTACTAACAAATGTCTTTAATCCCAGGACTGGGGAGGCAGAGGCAGGCAAATTTCTGTGAGTTCAAGGCCAGTCTGGTCTACAGAGGGAGATCATGTCTTAAAAAGGCAAAACAAAACAGAAACTACAGAGCAGGACAGGGTGGCATAAAGTTATAATTCCATCATTTGTGATGTACAAGTAGAAAGAAGAGTTCAAGGCTATCCTTTGCTCATTTGAGACCAGCCTGGGACACACAAGACTCCATTAAAATCTAACAAAATAAAAAAAGGTGAAGTGCTTTGTTATACTAGGTAGAGAATTCAACAGTCTAACATAGTGCAAACAAAAAAGAAAATTGTAAAAAAATTTAAAGTTCAAACCATAAAGTTATTTATTAAGTAGTAGTATCAAACCTTAAGATTCCATAGGAAAAGAAAAGTATTATCAGAAAGAGCCAAAAATGAAAAAGAAGTAGAGTGTTATTTAAGCAATTTACATAATCAGATTTGTCTTTTTTTCTTCTTCTTCTTCTTCTTTCGGTTTTTCTAAAACAGATTTCTTTGTGATCTTTGGAGCCTGACCTGGCACTCATTCTATAGACCAATCTGTCCTTGAACTCATAGAGATCCTCCTGTCTATGTCTCCTGAGTGCTGGGATTAAAGGTGTGCAACACCACTGCCTGGTTTCACATTTTATTCTTAAACATTTACTTTTTAAGCATTTCTCACATAGTTATAATACAAAAGCAAGTAGAACCACCAAACTGGGGTTTCTGCAGTCCTTAATTATTGTAACATGTGAAAAAGCCAAAACTGATACGCACTGCAACTTACAAAAGTTAGCCCTATAACCCTAGAGACAAACCTGTTAAAAGTTTTCATTTGTATCATAATCTTAACCTTAAAAGTACCAACAACTCTCAACTATAACATTTAACTTGTTTAAGGTTAGTAAATCAATCTATTACAGGAGGTGTAAAAAAATGAACCAGGTCCTTGGGCTGATGCGATAGTTCAGCAGGTCAAGGCACTTTGCTGCCAAGCTTAATAATAACCTGATTTCAATCCCTGGGACCCACATGGTAAAGGAGAACCAATTCCTGCAAGTTGTCTTCCCACCTGCACATGCATGCTGTGGCACACACACTAAATAAATGTAAAACAAAGAAAAAAAAAAAACAAAAAAACTAAAAAATCTTAGGACCACTAAAATGAAAAGTTCCTCAAGATCAAATATTACTATTAGCTAGGTATTATGGTGCACACCTTTAGTACCAGCACTCAGGAGGCAGAGGCAGGTGATCTGAGTTTGAGGCCAGGCCCCCCAAAAAACTTAGCTGAGTCTTAATTATGCTATATTATGATTCCATAGCCAAATAAGGAAGAAATTTTAAATAATGAACCAAAACAAGACAGCTCAGAGAGTCCATAAGTTCAAGGGCAGGATACCCAACACAGCAAGGCTACATATCAAAATACTACCCACTGTATTACTATAGTTTCTCTGTATGATTAATCATGAAATTTAGTAACAATTAATAAGTTACCCACAGAAAATGAAAGATCAGTGTTACTAAATGGTTCTCTCATTAAAAATGTTAGAAGGCCAAAAAAGCCAGCATCACTGGGGAAGAAAAATAAAGCCACCGAGTATTAAGTATTAAATTTTTGGCAGTCTTTTCTCAATCAACAGGATGCAACCATAACTAGTTGCATTCTGATACAGCAATTGCTGCATTATCATTTATACATTTTAAGATTCAAAAGTGCTCAGAGAAAAAGAAGACTAGAGGAAACATATATTCCCCTCAGGAAAGACAAACAAATAACTGCCCATTAAACTGCAAACATACCAGGGAAAATAATGAATAAGCAATGTGATAAAAATTCTAAACTATAATAGCTACTCCAATAACCCTGAAATATTCATGGACCATACCCAAAACCCAGTTAAGTAAAATACTGCATTTTATAGGGGTGTTAGTAGACGTACAACAGCCACGTGTTATAGAACAGACCCAGTCAGCAGTACAGAAGTTCACAGCTTCAGCAAAGTTGTATCCCTGGTTAAATCCAGAGTGATAGGCACGAGGAAACGTCACAACAAACTCTCCAGCACACTGATTAGTCCTGTACACCTAAATGCAAATTAGGAACAGGGATTTAAAAAAAAGGAAGACAAGTTCACTCAGATAATTTCAAAGGTATTTTCTAAACTTGGAAATAATACAGCATTAACATATACATATCAGAAATAGCTACAACTGCCAGGAGGTGGTAACACATACCTTTAATTCCAGCACTCAGAAGGAAGAGTGGATCTTTGTGAATTCAAAGCCACCCTGGTCTACAGAGGTAGGTCTAGAACAGCCAGGGACACACAGAGAAACCCTGTCTCGAACCGATCACCCACCCAAAAAGCTATAACTGTTTTCTTAAAATTATAATATATGACAAGAATCAGCGGTCAAAAGAAATTCTCAAGCAGAAAATGGTACTCTCTTCCTAAGTGAAAATCCTACACTTCATGGTGAATGTCTATAATCCTAGCACCTGGGAGGTAGAAACAGGAGGAGCAAGATGAAGATCATTCATTGCTACAAGGTTGGGCTAAGTAAGATCCTGTTTAAAAATATTTTCTTCTGGCCGGGCATTGGTGGCGCACGGCTTTAATCCCAGCACTCAGGAGGCAGAGGCAGGCGGATCTCTGTGAGTTCAAGGCCAGCCTGGTCTACAAAGCAAGTTCCAGGACAGTCTCCAAAACAATACAGAGAAACCTTGTCTCGAAAAACCAAAAAAATTTTTTCTTCTTTAAAAGCTTAGAAAATTAAATTTTTGTTCCTGTGTTGTAAATAGAAATAAAAGATTAAATTTCCTACAATCACTGTATAATTTTTAGAAACTAAATCTATCAGTTAATGTCATGCAATATCTCCCAATCTCCAATCAGTTTTCCCAAATGTTACTTTCTTTTTTAAAAAATGGTTTCTCACGACAGTGTTTCTCTGTGTAACAGTCCTGCCTGTCCTAGAACTCACTTTGTAGACCAGATTGGCCTTAAACTGAGATCTGCTTGCTCTGCTTCCCAAATGCTAGGACTAAAGGCATGTGCCACCACTGCCCAGTGTTACTTTGTTTTGTGATAAGACTATGAGTACTATTTGATCAGTTTATTTATTTAGGTATTTCCAGACAAGGTTTATCTATGTTACGGTCCTAGCTGTCCTGGGACTCTATCTATAGACCAGTCTGTCCTGGAACTCAGTCCGCCTGCTTCTGCCTCCAATTGCTGGGATTAAAGGCATGCATCACCATGCCCAAATTAATACTAGTTTACTTAGGACCTTCAAAAATATATTCTGACAGTGTAACCAACTGATACACCTCAGTTTTTAATTCAGACAATTAGTATGCAAACATGAAAATTATAAGACAGTGGCAGTAACTGTTTTAAGTAGGTTTGATCTTAATACTCTTGAACCCTAGTATTAATCCACCTTTTGGAGACAGACAACGGTAATATAAATTATTTTATCTATCTTTGCGTTACCATTATATGAAGTGACTATGGTAGCATACTTGTAAACCCAAAACTGGGAGGTAGAAACAGGAGAATCACAAGTTCAGTGGCAAACTTGGACAAAATAAATAAGCTCTGAGGATATTTGGCTCAGTGGAAGAACAATTATATATTGTGCCAAAGCATTGAGTTCCAGCCTCAGCGGCTCAAAAAAATTAAATTATAACGAGGGCTTAGTGGTTAAGAGCACTGGCTGCTCTTCTAGAGGTCCAGAGTTCAATTCCCAGCAACCACATGGTGGCTCACAATCATCTGTAATGAGTTCCAGTGCCCTCTTCTGGCATGCAGGCATACATGTAGGCATAACACTGTATTCATAATAAATAACTAAGTTATAACAAATGCCAAATTGTATGTGGCAAATTTATATAGCAAGTTCAAGGCCAGCTACTTCCTGAGACTAGGTCTCAAAACAAAGTAATAAATTTAGTCACAAAGAAACAAAGGAAAAATAAATCTGAGCTAAAAGGAGATTCCACAATACATTTTTATGTCATTATTTTCGCCTTGTCCTCCTATTCTTTTTTTTTCCCCCCCCAGATGGGGTTTCTTGTACTGTAGCCCTTGCTGTCCTAGAACTCTGTATATCAGGCTGGCCTGGAACTCAGAGATCTGTCTGCTCCTACTTCCTAAGTGCTGGAATTAAAGCACCACCACTGTCCAGATATTATCTTCTATATTAAAAACTGAAATATGATGATATACACCTTTGATCCCAGCACTTAGGAAACAGGAGAAAGCAGGTATCCTTGAGTTTGAGACTATACTGTCAATATAAGTTCTAGGCTAGTAAGAGCTATACAGTAAGACCCTTTCTCCAATAAAAAGTATCTTAAGTATCCAAGTTTTCAATAAAACAAAAGGAAACATAAAACCTGAAATCTCCTGGTCAAGGGCTCCCTGACTGTCATGCTCTACCATGTCCAGCTTTAAAAAATACTTCAATCACATAATAAATAAATACATAAATGAACAATCATTTGCTAGTTAGCCTTATCTGTCAACTTGTCACAGCACGAGCCACCTGAGAGGAGTGCGTCAACTAAAGAGTTTCCTAGATTAGACTGCCTATGGAAGAGGACTATCTTGACTAATACAGGCTGGCCTGTGTACTGCCCAGCTCCCAACATGTGATGGTACCGTTCCTGAGCTATATAAAAAAGGTATCTAAGCATCAGCCTGTCTTAGCCAGCAACAGGTATCTCCATGGTTTCTGCAGTATTTTTTGGCTTTGATTTCTTTGGCCAGAAATAATGCTGTGCTGGAATAGCAGTGCAGGCCTGTCTTCAACGTCCTGCCTTGATTTCCCTTGATGAACTGTATATAACCTGGAATTTGAGCCAAGATAAACCCTTTCCTTAGGTTTCTTGATTAGTGTTTTTATTACAGCAACAGAATGAAACTAGAACAGCTATTACTTTAAGAACTTGATTATTCTAGTTAAGTAGGGGGGACAGAACAAGATCGGGGAGTCTCTGAGATAGTTCAGTAGTTATAGACCCTTACTACCATGCCTGATGACATAAATTCAATCTCCAGGACTCACATAGTTGTTCTCCAAACTATTAAACATTCACCATGGCACAACAGGGCTGGAGAAATGGCTCAGCTGTTAAAGGGTAGGCTCACAAACAAAAACACAAAAGAAAATTGAATTAAAAACAAACAAAAAGTTTTAAAAGGGGGCTGCTGTTGCAGAGGACCCAGGTCAGTTTCCACCACCCACACAGTAATTCACAACCATCCTCATATGCAGTTCCAAGTGATCCAAAGCCCCCTTCTGACTTCCTCAGTCACACAACATGTACATGGTACATGTACATACTTGCAGAAAAAATATTCATACACATAAATTTTAAAAATTCCAAACACTTGGAAAATATGCAACACAAATTTAAATGTGTATATGTAACAGAGAAACCTATCTCAAAAGAAACAATGTGTATGCGTGAAAATTGAATGTCTTAATGAAAAAAACAAAAATGTCTTTTAAGTTGAAAGAAAATGACCATACAAGATATTTCAAATAAAACTATTTTTAAAATAAAAAAGAGTTAATTGGGCATGGTGGTGTACACTTTTAATGCCAGCACCTGGGAAGCAGAAACAAGTGGATCTCTATGTGCAAAATCCAGCCTGGTCTATACAGCAAGTACAGTACACAGAGAGCAATACTCTATCTAAACCCACCCCCAACCCCCCCCCCCACCAAACAACAAAAGTTTAAAATGAACAAAGAATGAACAGTTTTTACTAAAGAACAGAAGCCTATCCAAATAGGTAGCTGTAAGGCATAATATATGATTCACACTTAAAGCATCCCTTCTCAATCAGACTCAGGATATAAATTCTAATTTGGCTACACTACAGGGCTTTTCACATATAGTTACAACCCCCCCCCCCCCCAATCAAAACAAAACAAAACCCTTGCAACTATATCCAATCAAAAGCTAGAAAATCTTTGAAAACGCTGAAAGAAGACACAAAAAGACTCACAGGCACACCATGCTCCATGAGCACGTTTGGGTTCATGATGGTTACTAACTGATGTAGGAGATCAGGCTGTGATTCAAATAACTCAGGGGCCATCTCCCTCATCACCTCCTCCAGTTGTTCTGCAGCATGAGATGGCACACCATACCATGTCTTTGGCTCGCCCCTAGTAAAAGAAATAACTGTTTAGCTAGGTAGAACATGGTATCAAAGAAGCCAACGTCTTTCATCAAATCTACTACATTATAATTAACCTTGTCATATTCCTGGTCATAGGTTATATGACTACAATCCTGGCAACCATACCATAAATATATGCTACTATTAATAACAGGAAACAATACAAAAATATATGAACTATTAAGATATACACTCACTGCCACTGGGAAAATAACACAAATTATATGAATTGGGGATTAGTAAAGGTGCCTTTCTAACAGAAAATTCATTACATGGAAATCACTGTTCAAAAGTATATGGACACATTCACTGCCTTGATTACCAGAATGAGTCTTTCCAATTACTATCACAATCGTTAAAGCAAAGAGTCAATGATCTCCAGAATACATATAAATAACTTCATTAAGTTCAATTTTTTATTCATGTAAATAAGCTAATACTACTACAAACTATTCAAACTTTAAATATAGTTGCTAACAAAAAGACCAAAACCCAGCATAATGAATCTATCGTATTTTAATGGATTAGAGTTCATTTTGAATACTAAATAATTACAAACTTAGGAAATAGTGCTGGCTAGTTTTACATAAACCTGACACACAGACACACACACACACAGACACAGAGAGAGAGAGAGGGGGGGGGGGAGGGAGGGAGGGAGGGAGAAAAGGCAGCCAGTTAAAACAGTATTGATATTAGAGAAGGAACTTGCTAAGTGAATGAAAATCTTTTGAGAGATTAAAAAAACTCATCAAAGGAATTTATTTACCTCTTAACGTTTAAAGTTCCAAGCACCAAATCAAATCTTTCAACTCTAAGTTTAAATATCACATTTTGCCTATCAAGATACATCAAAACTGGGGGAATGGAGATGCTTTCAGAGCATCCAGGTTCAGTTCCAAGCACCCACATGGCAGCTCAAAACTATTTAAAACTCCATCTGATGCACTCTTTTGATCCCCACAGGCTTATATATGCAAGTGGTACAGACAGACAGACAGACACACACACACACACACACACAGACACACACACAAAATGTAGTTAAAAATACATATCAAAATTTGGCTGGGAAAGCCGGGCGTTGGTGGCACACACCTTTAATCCGAGCACTCGGGAGGCAGAGACAGGTGGATCTCTGGGAGTTCGAGTCCAGCCTGGTCTACAGAGCGAGTTCCAGGACAGCCTCCAAAAAAAAACAGAGAAACCTTGTCTCAAAAGACAAAACAAAACAAACTGGCTGGGGATATAGCTCAGAACTTCAATACTAACATGAATAGGCCTTTTAATCCCTAACATGCAAAGTTGAGTCATCATTAATTATTTCCTCATATACCACAGAAGCATCATTTAATTTAAAACTTGGGGCTGGAGGCCGGGCGTTGGTGGCGCATGCCTTTAATCCCAGCTCTCGGGAGGCAGAGGCAGGCGGATCTCTGTGAGTTCGAGGCCAGCCTGGTCTAAGAGTGCCAGGACAGCCTCCAAAGCCACAGAGAAACCCTGTCTCGAAAAACCAAAAAAACAAAAAAAAAAAAAAAAAAACAAAAAAACAAAAAAAACTTGGGGCTGGAAAGATGGCTCAGTGGTTAAGAGTGATGGCTGCTCTTTCATAGAGTATCTGAGTGAAATTCTCTGAATCCATGTGGCACTTCTGAACTGTCTGTAACTCTGGTTCCAGAAGATCCAGCACCCCCTTCTGGCCTCTGTGGCACTGCACACACATGGGTCCATAGACATACATATATGCAGGCAAAACACCCATTCACATAATATAAAAAATAACAAGTAACATCTCAAAAAACAAACCAAAAAACAGTCTAGGTTCAGGTAATTATACATATGTTCAAAGAGAAGATGGTCTGAGACAACTCCTTTCCCCTCCTCACGTTTATGTAAAAAATACTTTTGAAGCCAATTCTCTCTAATATACTAGCTAATACTATTACATCTTAAAAATAAGATACCAGACATAGTGAGGTGACACATGCCTATAATCCTAGCACTCTGGAAGTATCAGAATCAGGAAATCCAGAAGCTCAAGTTGAGCTACACCCGAATTTCAGAGTAGCTTGTTTCAAAAGAAAATTAAAAGCTAAACAAAAAAAAACCAACAACAACAACAAAAAAAATCAGGACTCAGGATATACCTCAATGTAGATAAATACTTGGCACATATGAGTCCCTGGATTTAATTTCTAATACCAATGCCCCTCCCACAACAAAGCCACTAAATACATGTGGTATAACAAAACTGGACATACCAATGTAAGTAGTTAATGGAATAACTCCAGTGATCTTCAATATGCCAGCAAAAAGAAGAAAAACACATCCCCACATACAGCCATGGCACCTTCATACCAGAAATGTCCACATTAATATGTGCAAGAACAGACTGCTCCAGAACAGGCATGTTATTCAAATTCCAACCAGAAAGGGCATATTCCTATAAAATAAAAGTTAAAACGAAAAATCAGTTTACAATACTAAACAAAAATCTTAAAGAGAACCTCTCTAAAAAGGCAAATATTTCATAATACGTATTACTATCCAGTGCATACAATTTGCTCTTTGGAACCCACAGCAAATATACAACTCATCTACTAATCTAATGTACCTACATCTAATTTAAATAAATATTTGATATCTAAGTATCTACATAAACTTTTCTAGGTTCTGCTGATTTTTCTTTTATTTCTCATATTTCTACTTTACTTTCAAACACATACGCAAAGTTATAGTTAAAAACTAGTGCGGCACATGCGAACAGATTGCTTTTCTATTTCTACTGTACCCTGCAGTGGCATCTTCCATATTTCATATCAGAGTATTCCAGCAGCATAATGACTATTACAATACATAAAGCACAGTGCTAGACATTGTCAGGACACATAATCAAGAATTTATAGCAATACGTTAAGTTGATGTAACACAGAAAGTCATACTACCTTTCTTCACCAGAAATACATCAGGAAAAACTGGCTAAATTTAGAATAACAAAGTAACTTATGGGGCTGCAGAGATGGTTCAGCAGTTAAGAGCATCACTGGCTGCTCTTCCAGAGAGGACTGGGTTCAATTCCCAGCAACTCTAGTTCCAGGGAATCCAACACTCTCATACAAATATGAATACGGACAAAACACTAATGCACAAAAAGTAAAATTAAAAAAAAAAACACATACACAAAAGAAACTTGATTCATAGAATTTGAACATGAAAATTCCTAGTTCCTAGACACAGACATGAAGCAAAAAACAAACAAAAAAAAAAACAAAAAACAAAAAACAAACAAACAAAAAAAAAACAGAGAGAATGTAAAAGGCAGGCACTGGTGGCATATGCCTTTAATCCCAGGGCTCAGGAGTCAGAGGCAGGCAAATCTTTGTGAGTTCAATGTCAGCTTGGTCTATACAATGAGACCTAGGACATCAGGGCTATATACAGAGACTCTTTTTTTTGTTTGTTTGTTTGGTTTTTACCAGACAGCTCTGTATTGTTTTGGAGGCTGTCCTGGAACTCACTTTGTAGACCAGGCTGGCCTCAAACTCACAGAGATCTGCCTGCCTCTGCCTCCTGAGTGCTGGGATTAAGGGCGTGCATCACCACTGCCCGGCTGAGACTGTGTCTTTAAGAAAAAAAAAAGTTGATAACTGAACATGAATATATGTAGAAAGTTTATATATATATATATATATATATATATATGCTTATATATATATATATGCTTATATATATATATATATATATGCTTCTACACTATAAGAACAAAAATTTAAATTCTTGCTGAGTCAAGAGGTATATGCCTACAATCCCAGCATTTAGGAAGGTGAGGCAAGAGGATCACAAGTTCAAAGACAGGCAAAATTATATAGTGTAACCCTGCCTCAAAGAGGAAAAAAACTTCAAACCCTTAAAGCTGACCAGAAAACAAGTCAACTATAAGACAGATATCAGGAATTTACATATAAAACAACAGCAAGAATAGAAACCAGTATGCAGGGCCGGCAGTGGTGGCACACGTCCCAGCACTCTGGAGGCAGAGACAGGAGGATCTCTGTGAGTTCAAGGCCTACAGAGCTAGTTCCAGGGCAGGCTTCAAAACTAGAGAAACCCTGTCTTGAGAAACAAAACAAAACAACAGTAACAAAAAGTATGTGGGCAGTGCATACCTATAATTCCAGCAGACAGAAAGCACAGACAGGATGATTAGTAAATCACATCTACATGGTGTGTTTTAAGTCATCCAGAAGTACATATGGAGACTGGTTCCAAATAGAATTTTAAATGAAGATTAAGCAAACTATGGAAACTACAGAAGTATACTTAAGGATCAAAGGGGATAGAATATGGAAATCCTATACACATTTAATAAAGAAGAAATCTCAGTGAGAAATATCAAAGAAGATGGGCAGTGGCACCCACACACCAGAGGCTGAAGCAGGAGGATCCTGAGGTTGAGGAACTACAAAATGGTGAGAAGGGAAAGAGAAAAGACATTTCTCCAGCACCAGAATAAAAATTCTAATATGCTAAAATAAGAAATTGAGGCCAGGTGGTGGTGGTGGTGCATGCTTTTTTCTCTTTAATGATTTGTTTTTTTGCATTGGTGTTTACCTACAAATGTATCTGTATAAAGGTGTTGGATCCCCTGGAGTTCACAGATTTCCCTAGACTATCTGAACATCAAACCCAGGGTCCTGCTCTTTCCACTAGTGGTAGACTTATAATCACATTGAGCCATTTCCCCAGTCCTAAATTACTTCCTTCTAACTGAAGGCAATATGCTAAATTATTGCCAACAACAGAGAAAAACAGAAAGTAAGCAGGAAAAAGAAAAAATAATTATCTCAGCTTTATGAATCTTTATGGAACAAAGATCTAAAAAGTAAAAGCATACATGAAATCCTACCTAGTCAGCTTTATTTTATTTTTTTGTTTTTTGAGACAGGGTGTTTCTGTATTGTTTTGGAGGCTGTCCTGGAGCTCGCTCTGTAGACCAGCCCGGCCTGGAACTCACAAGAGATCCGCCTGCCTCTGTCTCCTGAGGGCTGGAAGTAAAGGCGTGCACCACCAACGCCCGGCCTAGTCAGCTCTTGAAGAAAACTTATTTTAGAAATTACTAACAAAACTAATTTTAAAAAGTATCACTTAATTTTTTTCCTTTTCCTTTTGATTTCTTGAGGCAGGGTTTCTCTGTGTTAACAGCCCTGGTTGTCCTGGAAGTAGCTCTGTAGACCAGGCTGGCCTTGAACTCACAGAGATTCCCCTGCCTCTGCCTCCCAAGCGCTGGGATTAAAGACGAGCATCATTGCCACCCAGCCTTCACTTTCTTTTTTATAAGATGGTATTCTCACTATATTGCTGAGTCCAAACACAAACTCCTAGGTGCAAGCAATATTCTTTTTTCATCCTCCTAAGTAGTATTATAGGTGTGCAACATGTACCCAATTACATACATCAAACTTTCTAGGTTTTATTCATGTATGTGTGCCTGCATGTATGTATGTATACAATGTACATAACTGGTACCCTCAGAGGCCAGAAGAACAGGATGGATCTCTGGAACAAGAATTCTTAACCACTGAGCCATCTCTCTAGCTCAGTTTCTAGACTGTGGAATAGAAAAAGCTAGGCAAAATCTTAAAACTCGGGCCAGTGAGGTGGCTGCGTGGGGAAAGGTACCTGCTGCTGAATCTGACAACCTGAGTTAGATCCTTGAAATTCACTCTACAGAAGGAGAGAACTGATTCTCACAAGTTGTCCTTTGACTACCCCACACCATCCTCTACCATGTGGCACACACGAATACAAAACAGTTTGGTTTTTTCTGGAAATCACTATGTAGATGAGACTGGCCTCAGAAAGATCTGCCTACCTTTGCCTCCTGAGTGTTATAATTTTTTAAAAACAACTTTCAAACTAGATTAAACTTTTAATTAAATTAGCTTTAAAATTTAGAGATAAAACAATTCTTTTTTTTTTAAGATTTACTTATTACATATACAATGTTCTGCCTACACGACAGAAGAGGACACCAGATTGAATTGTAGATGATTGTGAGCCACCATGTGGTTGCTGGGAATTGAACTCAGGACCTCTGGAAGAGCAATCAGTGCTCTTAACCTCTGAGTCATCTCTCCAGCCCCCAAAATATCTTTTTTTTTTTTTTTGGTTTTTTTTGGGGGGTTTTTTTTTGTTTTTTTTTTTCGAGACAGGGTTTCTCTGTGGCTTTGGAGGCTGTCCTGGAACTCAGTTTGTAGACCAGGCTGGTCTCGAACTCACAGAGATCCGCCTGCCTCTGCCTCCCAAGTGCTGGGATTAAAGGCGTGCGCCACCAACGCCCGGCTCCCAAAATATCTTTTTAAGAATTGTTTTATCTCGGGGCTGGAGAGATGGCTCAGAGGTTAAGAGCACTGCCTGCTCTTCCAGAGGTCCTGAGTTCAATTCCCAGCAACCACATGGTGGCTCACAACCATCCATAGTAAGATCTGGTGCCCTCTTCTGGCGTACAAGCATACATGGAGGTAGAATGTTGTATTCATAATAAATAAATAAATCTTAAAAAATAAAGAGAGGCCAGGCGGTGGTGGCGCACACCTTTAAAAAAAAAAAAAAAAAGATATTTTGAGGACTGGAGAGATGGCTCAGCAGTTAAGAGCACTGACTGCTCTTCCAGAGGGTCCTGAGTTTAGTTCCCAGGAACGACATGGTGGCACACAACCATCTGTAATGAAATACATGCAGGTAGAACGCTGTATACACAATAAATAAATCTTTAAAAAAAAGATATTTTGAGCCAGTCGTTGGTGGCACACGCCTTTAATCCCAACACTCGGGAGGCAGAGGCAGGCTGATCTCTGTGAGTCAAGACCAGCCTGGTCTATAATTTCCAGGACAGCCTCCAAAGTCACAGAGAAACCCTGTCTCGAAAAACCAAAAAAAAAAAAAAAAAAAAAAAAAAGAAAAAGAAAAAAAAACAAACAAAAAAAGATATTTTGAGAACTGGAGAGATGGCTCAGAGGTTAAGAACACTAACTCCTCTTCCAGAGGACCTGTTCAATTCCCAGCAACCACATGGTGACTCACAACCATCTGTAATGAGATCTGGTACCCTCTTCTGGCCTGCAGGCATACATGCAGACAGAACACTGTATACATAATAAACCTTTAACAACAAAAAAAGATATTTTGAATTTGCTTTGTTTCTGACAGTCTCAGTATGAAGCTCAAGCCAAATTAGTCCCAACTATTCTACCTCAGTTTCCAAAGTACTGGGATTATAGGAATGTATACCCATGGCCAGTTCAAAATTAATTGTTTACAAAATCAGACATTATTTATATTATCTAAAGCCTACATATATCATATTTTAAAATGGCATGGTGCCAATATTAGAGAAAGAACTTTTTTTATGAAAATGCAAAATCAGCTTCAGAGTAAGAGTTCAGAGAACAGTATCCATACCTCTTCTTCTGGCAACATTTTTCTCTGACCATCTTTTACAGGAAATCCACTTCCAAAATCTTTTGAAGAAATATCAGCTCCATACTCTACAATAACATCTTCTTCAATACTACTTACTAGCCTCCAGAATTCCTTTTCTACTAGTTCTGTAGGAACCATCTATAAAAAAAAAACCCAAAAATAATTAACTCATTATAACTATAATCCCCTAAAATATAATATACAGACCAACTGAACAAAAGCATGATAAAAACAAATAAATCACCACATTTCCCAGAGCAAAATTAATTCTTGTATTTCTCCACTAGAAAAAAAGCTAAAGATAGCTAAAATAACTAAAAAGGTAAAAATAACTAAAATTCAAACATCAAGATGTTTCTCATAACGGTTTAGGTGGTGCACACCTTTGATCCCAGCACTTGGGATGAGGAGGCAGGCTGATCTCTTTGAGTTCGAAGCAGCCTGTTCCTCAGAACAAGCTCACGAACAGGCTCTTAAGCTACAGGGAAACCCTGCCTCAAAAAAATCAAAAAACAATAAACAAACAAACAAACAAAAGAGAGTACAATTAACAAAATAGATTATCAGGTCCATATTTTTAAGATTTAGTGTTCTCTAACCTCTTTTATATTGTTCCTGATTTCTATAAAACTTGACAGAAACTTTGTTTCTCTCTAAACCAACATAAATGACAGCTACTCACATGGACTGGCATATTGAAATAATCAGATTTAAAATTATCTGCCATCTCGCCAAAGCTTTGAAGTGTATATTCTCTTATAGCTTGCTCAAATCCAAAGGCTTCTCGAGGTTTGTTACATTCCTGGGGGGAGAAAAAGATATTCATGGTAGCTCACTGGTATAATGCTCTCAGGCTCTGTGTTCAATATCCAGCAATAAAATAAATAAAAGTCTCAAATATGGCTTTTATTGATCATTTCTCTAGCTTAAATCTAATCACCCTTACACAGTAAAACAAGTATCAGTTATTTGCAATTCATTAGTTGAAACTAGAATCTCAACTGAATGTTCAATATTCCAAAACAATGAATGAAACAGCTTTAGGGGGCTGGAGAGATGGCTCAAGGTTAAGAGCACTGACTGCTCTTCCAGAGGTCCTAAGTTCAATTCCCAGCAACCACATGGTGGCTCACAACCATCTGTAGTGAGATCTGGTGCTCTCTTCTGGCCTGTAGGCATACAAGCAGGCAGAATACTATATACATAATAAATAATTGAAAAAAAAAAAAAAGAAACAGCTTTAGGTACTGGAGCTAGTATCATCCTTTGCCTCCAAGACAAACCCCAAGAGGAATACTAACTTGAACTCACACATAAGGATGCTGACATTCTTCGCATCCATAAAGTAAATAAATATTCAGAGAGGAAGGAAGCTGAGTCTTATTTCAGTAATTTGTTGTTTAGTTATACAATTTCAGGAGATTTTGTATTTTATATTTGTGGTTTTGTTAACAAATACACAAAGGTTTGATAATCACTTTAAATATTTGCTAATCCTTGATTTTAAGAATTGGTTGTGGGGGCTGGAGAGATGGCTCAGAGGTTAAGAGCACTGACTGCTCTTCCAGAGGTCATGAGCTCAATTCCCAGCAACCACATGGTGACTCACAACCATCTGTAATGAGATCTGGTGCCCTCTTCTGACGTGTACATGAGGCAGGGTGTTGTATTCGTAATAAATAAATACATTAAAAAAAAAAGAATTGATTGTAAACCAGGTAGTAGTGGCTCACACCTTTAATCCCAGCACTCAGTCGTTAGAGGCAGGTACATCTCTGTGAGTTTGAGGCCAGCCTCATCTACAGAGGGAATTCCAGGACAGCCAGTCTCAAAAACAAAACAAAAAGAATTGGTATCTTCTAAAAGTGGTTACTATGTCAGAGACTACTTAAATGTAATGCAAATCACTGTTTCAAGTCATCTACCATACAACTAAAAGATTAATAACTTCAAGTAAACCAAGGGCTTTGGCTCTTGGTAATTTAATTTTTTAAATTTTATGTGTATGAGTATTTTGTTGGTATATATGTCTATATATACCATGTGCATGCTTTGTGCCTGAGGACAGAAAACAGTGTATGAATTAGAGATGGTTGTGAGTCACTATTTAAGGTTCTAAGAATCAAATCTGGGTCTTCAGGAAAAGCAGCAAAAACTGATGAGCCATCTCTCCATCTCCTTAAATACCTTTATATCTCTGCTTAATTCTGTTCACATTTAAACTGTTGCCATTTATATAAACAAGAAAATTATCTAACCAGCCGGGCAGTGGTGGTGCATGCCTTCAATGCCAGCACTTGGGAGGCAGAGACAGGCAGATCTCTGTGAGTTCCAGGATAGTCTCCAAAGCTACAGAGAAACCCTGTCTCCAAAACAAACAAAAAAAAAAAAAAACCCTCAAACAAACACAAAAACTATCTAACCAACAGTCAGAGAAGGAAAAAAATAAGCCCACAAAACAGCTGTTTCACATTCATTCAGAATAGTTCTTTAAAATACTGGTTTTTCAACAATAATAAACAAGAAACTGGGACAAGCTTTTGAGAACATGTTTACAATATAGCATAGATTAGTCTCTTTAGTTTTAAATGGATCTATAACATTAAGTTTGTACCTCAGCAACACATTTAGGACACCTCCAGTCTCCCTTGGGCACGTCAGGTAGTGGTGGAAGTAGACAAAACGTATGATAGCTATCATCACATCCGTCACACAAAAGCAATTTGTCCTCATTGTTTCCCCGACCACAAAACATACAAACATAGAGATCAACCTATAAAGATAAATAAAATAATTAATTTTCTACAGTATAGAGTATTGCATTTTTATCATGAACTATTCAAATAAATACAATGAACACTAAAAATTAAACAGAGCTTAATCCTTTAAAAATATATTTCAAGACAGACAATTCTCCCCAGAACTTCTACAGGTAAATTAGTGAAAATATAAGCAGGAGTCAGAATCCCAGAGGTGATGGCACAAGTCTTTAATCCCAGTACTCAGGAGACAGAGGCATGGATATCTGTGAATTTGAAGCCAGCCTGGTCTACAGAGCAAGTTTCAGCATAGCCAGAGCTACACAGAGAAACCGTGTCTTAAAAAGCAGAAAACAAACACATAAACAAAAAAGAAGCTGTTAGAATCAAGAAACACTATAATCTAGGGAATGGAAAATAAATTTATACTTAAATACTATAATACAGAGTGAATACTGAAAACTGCCTATTAAATACTGCATACCTCAATGAGTTTTAAGAATTCTTGGAGAGGGAGCTAGAGAGATGGCCCAGTGGTTAAGAGCATTGGCTTTTCTTTCAGAGGACCCAGGTCAATTCACAGGACCCACATGGCAACTCACAACTGTCTGTAACTCTAGTTCCAAGGGATCTGGCATCCTCACACACACATACATACAGGCAAAACACCAATGCACATCAAATAAAAAACAAAAAGTCAAACCTTGAAATATGCCGGGGTTATCCAACCACCATTAACTACCCCAGTAGATAATAAAACCCACAGGTGCTTAAATCCCTTACATAAAATGGCTTAATATTTGTCTATCTTCTACACATAGCCTTCCCCAGAATAAATCATCTCTAGATTACTTATATTAATTGTATGTAAATGCTTTTGAAATAGCCACACTACGTTGATTAGTAAAAACTGCAAAGAAAATAAAAATGGTTATGGTGGGCTTTCTGATGTATACCCGTGGTCTCAGTACCCAGGAGGTTAAGGCAGAATGAGGCACATGTTTAAGGCCATTTTAGGTTTCACACTGAGTTCTAGGCCAGTCTGGGCTATATAGCCAGAACCTTAAAAAGGAAAAAAAAACAAAAAACAAAAACAAAGGAAAAAAATCTCTATGCTATTCAGCACAGAAACAATGTTTTTTTTTTTTTTTTTTTTTTTGGTTTTTCGAGACAGGGATTCTCTGTGGCTTTGGAGGCTGTCCTGGAACTCACTTGGTAGTCCAGGCTGGTCTCGAACTCACAGAGATCTGCCGGCCTTTGCCTCCCGTTGCTGGGATTAAAGGTGTGCGCCACCAACGCCCGGCTGTATTATTATTATTATTTAAATGTGTGTGGGGATTTCTGTTGTGCACCACATGCATGCCTGGTACTATCAGGCCAAAGGCCAGAAGCAGGCATCAAAATCCCCTGTAACTGGAATTTCAGACAGTTGTGAGCTACCAGGCGGGTGCCGTGAGTCAAACTCAGGTCTTCTGAGTGTGCCTAACCACTGAGCATCTCTCCAGCTCCAGAAACAATTTTTTTTTCAGAAACAATTTTTAAAAAGTTTTCAATCAGGCTGGAGAGATGGCTCAGAGATTAAGAGCACTGGCTGCTCTTCCGGAAGTTCTGAGTTCAACTCCCAACAACCACATAGTGGCTTACAATCATCTGTCAAGAACTTGTGCCCTCTTCTGGCCTGCAGGCATACGTGCAAGTGGAACACTGTATACATAAATAAATAAAGTCGCTACTGTTAAAAAAAATTTCAATCTATGTTTAGTTGAACCCATAAAGATAGAACCTGAAGATACAAAGATAACTATATACAGATTTATGTTCACTTCTTTAACTTGGTTACCTATAGGTATATGATTTATGGGAATGTACAGGAGACAAAGCAAAATTAACATTATATAAACCAAAACCCCAACCTGAAATTTTCTACCATGTCTTCTAATCAAACATGCTAAATGAACACCATGTATCAAGACAACAAGATAAAAATATATCCTTTCCCTCCTGAAATTATCCCAAAGCACTTACAAAGTTAACAGAGAGAGTTCCTTTCCGTTGTCTCATTTGCATGTTAAATGCGTCTGACTTGTTGGTAACTTTTCGTCTTCGGGTGACCTCATCTTGAAATAAAAAGTTATATAATAAAAGTAAAAACTAAAGTTGAGTGCTTACTAATGACCACACACTACTTAAAAGTATTTAAATTAGATAAAGTCTCACAACATTATGAGGTAGATTCTTATTGTCTGCAGCTGAAAATAAAAAACTTAAAAGCCTAGAGAAATTAGATAACTTGCTCAAGATCATATAGCCACTATATAGGTTTGTAAACCTTCAATGACTGTCTACATTCAGTACTTACGACATACTGTCTATATGTATGCTTTAGAGTGGCTCTCAAATTAGTCATAGCTTTTTCTTTAAGATCACCACAGACAAAACAGTTAAGTATAAGAATGGCACAAGGTCAGGAACGGTGTTCACACCTTTAATTCCAACACTCAGGAGGCAGTGGCAGGGAGATTTGTATAAGTTTGAGGGCAGACTGGTCTACATAGCAAGTTCTAGGACAGTCATAGCTACACAGTGAGACTGTATAACAAAAAAACAAAAGGAGAGTAAAGCTAGGCATGGTGGCTCACATCTAAATCCCAGATGTGTGAGGTGAAACAGGATTGCCAAAAAGAATAAAGAAAAAAAAAACACACAAAAACAAAACAAAGGTTTTTGTTATTATTGTTTTCTTTTTAAACAGGGACTCACAAAGATAATTTTTAAAAGCATGTCTGGTAACTATTATTACACTGATTGTATGTTGTTTATCATTTTTGCACTATTAAGATAGATTTTGTACATGGTAGGCAAATAGTCTACCATTGAGCTATATCTCTAGCCCCTTTTAAATGCTACTTTGTCTCCACATTGCCCAAATTGGCCAGAAACTCACTCTGTAGTCAGGCAAGACTCAAATCTATATTCTCCTGTCTCAGCCTTCTGAGTAGCTGTAATTACAACAAACCTGTCACCAGGACTGGATATCCCCCAAGTTTTGAGAGTGGAACAATATTATCTGATCGCTTACAATTTGGGCCACAATCTACATTATATTATACATTTCATAAATGTAATGTGTGACTTTAATATTTCATTAAATTCTTAGTCAGGGGGCTAGAGAGATGGCTCAGCGGTTAAGAGCACTGTTCTTCCAGAGGTCCTGAGTTCAATTCCCGGCAACCACATGATGGCTCACAACCACCTTGAATGAGAGCTGGTGCCCTCTGCTGGCATGTAGGCAGAAGACTGTATACACAATAAATAAATAATACAGAGACACCCTGTCTAGAAAATCCAAAAAAAAGATAATTTATTTCAATGGTATCATAACATATAGAGGAAAAATTATTTCAAAAATTTAAATGAAATTTAAAATTCTAACTTCTTCACAGTACCTTTTCATACTAAAAGTCTGAGAATCCCTTCGATTTAAAAATAACTTTTAGAACACTGTGACAACCAGTAATCATTACTGAAACTTAACTAGGAACTAAATGATATTTTCATGTATGTTAGAGATGGAGTATGATTCTTCAAAAATTAAAAAAAAATGCAATGTAGTATTTGTTTTACACACTGAATTTAATATTTCTACCATTAAAAAAGCCAGTCTGCCTAAAAAAACAATGTAGCAAGTTTACAAATATTAAGAATTCTCAGCACAGAGTGAAATTCAAATATCACTTGAGCCTTTTAACAACCATGTCACTGTACTTCATTTTACGCAAGTAACAGATTTTACCTTCTTTATGCTTTGCTCCTACTGCCAGGCCCACAACTTTGGGTCCAGCTCCAAAAATCTGAAGTTTCTTTAGTTCCGTGTTCCTGTTTACTTCTCCAGAGTCTGACTAAAAATAAATAAACAAAATGAATATTAGCATAATTACTCTGAATCATACAGTTAGTTTTCTTTAAGATAGGGTATTGGCCAGGTGGTGATGGTGTATGCCTTTAATCCCAGCACTTGGAAGGCAGAGGTAAGCCAATCTCTATGAGTTTGAGGCCAGTCTGATCTACAGAGCTAATTCCAGGACAGACAAAGCTGTACAGTTTTTTTTTTAATTTCTAATGAAACAGAAAAGTTCCTAGGCTATTGAGATGCTTCAATGGATAAAGATATTTGCCGCCTACCAAGACTCACAACCTGATCTCAATTTCCTGGGTCCACATAGTGAAAGGAGAGAATGGACTGCTGAAGTTGTTCTCTGACCCAACACAAACACTGAGCACAAACATACACACGCCCACACACACATAAATACATGCTTCAGAATGTTTTTTTTCAGCAGGGTGGTGGTGGTACACGCCTTAGACAGACAGACAGACAGACAGACACACACACACACACACACACACACACACGATGGGAATGAAGGGCTAGGGAAGAGCAGGGAAGAGTTTACTATAACTAAGGATGTATGAAAACGCCACATAGAAATATTATTTTGTAAGCCAACTCAGAAAACTACAAACATATGAGTTTGAGAGGAGGTGTACTACATGGGTAGATAATACAGTTCCCAGAAGCCATAAGTTATTAAACAAAAACCTTAGTGCTAGATGAAAGGTACTGATCTGAGTGACACGTTGGTCAGAGAGGCCCCAGAGTCTTCCAAGACAATACAACCTATTGTCTATACTCAGGCGTATACACAAGCATGCCTACATACATATACACACATATACAAAAGCATAGAGAAAGAGGAAAGCTATGCACAGAAATTTTTTTAATTTCTTTAAATACATAGTTCTATATGGCACAGGGAATCTATATCTATAAAGTAACACAAACAGCTCTGATAAAAACAAACCCTGGCAGTCTAAACCACAAGACAAGCCCACTGTTCTCCCAAGCCCTAATTCCAATGTGACCATATGGTATCCCAGTGCAGGCAAATATTAGAGAAGAAATCCAGTTTGTTATTCCTCACTATCTTGAATGCTATATAGCATGACAACCTGAGTTGTGTCCTGGGATAAGAGAATTGACTTTCAAAAATTATTCTGACTTTCATATAAATACTACACACACCCAGGCAGGCACACAAAACTTTTAAATGGCCTATGAACATTGAAAAGTACCTGAGACTTGACACGTCTTGTTCTCTTTGGCGGGATATTCATTCTTGTTCCCCTGTCTGGTAAAGGCTGGATATCAGTGCTGAGAACCTCAGCCTCAACTTTTTCTTTAATATCTAAGTCAGGCATTTGTACACCCTAAAAGAGAAGGACACAAAAAGAGAGAAAATTCACTAATAAGTTTGAGAATCAGTGGAAAATAGGAAATTTGGTGCTATAAGTTGCTAACACTACATAAAATCAGATGGCAGTCCTGACCCCAAATCCAAGTATAGGCTCAAAGCAATCCCTGACAAAGTCAACTTCTGTTTAGTTTTACATAGTATCTTATGTCTTCCATTAAGGCACTGGAACTGGCCTGGAACTCCCTATATAGAGAATGATTCTGAAGTTCTGGTCCTCTATGATTATAGGCATGCACCAGCACAAGCTACCAATGGGTTTTGTTTGTATTTTTTTTATATTTTTCTTATTTTAGATTTTAATTTAAATTAGAAACAAGGTTGCTTCACATGTCAATCCCAGCTCCCTCTCCCTCCCTTCCTCCCACACCCCCCCTCATCATCCCTCCAAGCCTCCCACCCAATCCCCACTCCATTTCCCAGGGAGGGTGAGGCCCTCCATGGGGGATATCCAGAGTCTGTCATTTCGTTCAAAGCAGGGCTTAGGCCCTCCCCCGAAGAGTCCAGGCTGACAGAGCATCCCTCATTGTGGGATGGGCACACAAAGTCCATTTGTATGCCAGGGATAAATAATGATCTCCTACCTAAGGCCCTATATATTGCCTAGGCTTCCTCACTGACACCCACATTCAGGGGGTCTGGATCAGTCCCATGCTGGCCTACCAGCCATCAGTTTGGGGTTCGAGGTCTCCCCCCTTGTTCAGGTCAACTGTTTCTGTGGGTTAAACAAGCCCAGTCTTGACCCCTTTGTTCATCAGTCCTCCCTCTCTGTCACTGGGATTTGCTTGTATTTTTAAACATGCCCAGCAGGATTTCTCTTTATGGAAATTGAAAGCAAACACTAAGATATATGTAAAGATGTAAACTGTTTGAATATAATGAAAAGGAAAAATAAATTAGAGAACTTATACTACTAGGTATCAAAATTTACTATAAAACAATACCAAAGATAATGTACTAGGGGCTAGAGATGGCTCATTAGTTAAGACCATGAACTCTAACAGAGGACCCAAGTATATTTCCCAACACATCAGACAGCTCTCAACCGCCCATGACTCCAGCTCTTGGACAATCCAACCTCTCTGACCTGTAACCTGTGTGGGCACCTGCACTCATTTGCACATACCCACATACAGATATACACAAATAAAACAAAACCCCAGCAGCGGCTGGACAAGGTGAGAAGATAGGAACAGGTGACTACTTAGGGCTTGTTGGCTAGCCACTTGGAAGGCTAATGAGAAAAAAGAACATTTAAGATTGAACCATTATACCACCCCCAAAAAAGTTTTAAACTTTAAAATATGTGAGAACTCAGCTAGACACTTTCTTCAGATTTGCTAGTTTTCACAGTGCTGGAAGGTGCTGTACAGGTTGCTGCAGGGACTTACCATTAACAATCTTATGTGTAAATCCTGCATGTTTCACTACCAACTTGCCAGACATGATGGGCCTACTAATATAATAGTGGCATGACAGCCATGCTGGTAACCAATAACTTCATGCTTCACTTTGAGGACTGTTCCACAGAAGGGAAGTCACCTTTGACATTATACACATAATCAAAAAGCCTATGTCTGGAAAGGTGTCAGACCCTACTGAGGAATTTACTGTTGTTGTTTTGTTAAATGGTCAGAACATGCCGGGTGGTGGTGGCGAACGCCTTTAATCCCAGCACTCGGGAGGCAGAGCCAGGTGGATCTCTGTGAGTTCGAGGCCGGGCTGGACCAACAGCCTCCAAAATAATACAGAGAAACCCTGTCTCATAAAAACCAAAAAAAAAAAGAGATCAGGATATGCCTGTCACACTGAAGATCATATATTAGTGCTGTGATCAGAAAAGTTTCTTTTGGCAGTGTGGTGGTTCCTGCAAAGACTCATAACTGAGAGCCAGGCGTTGGTGATGCACACCTTTAATTCCAGCACTTGGGAGGCAGATCTCTGTGAGTTCAAGGTCAGTCTGAACTACAGAGTGAGTGCCAGGATAGGCTCCAAAGCTACACAGAGACATCCTGCCTCGAAAAACCAAAAAGACTCATAACTGGTCAAAGCACTGAGAATAAGAGGCTGTTTGTTGGCTCAGCTTCAGAAAGAACCTCTGAAATGACCACTCTGAGATCTAGACAACATTAGAAAAGAGGCTAGGCATAGCAGCTCACTTTTAATCTCAGCACTCAGCAAGGAGAGGCAGGTGGACCTCTATGAGTTGGAGGTCAATCTAGTCTACTAAGTGAGTTCCAGGCTAGTCAAGGCTACACAGTGAAACAGAGAGAGGGAGGGAGGGAGAAAAAGAGGAAAGGGGGGAAGGGGGGAGGAGGGGAGGGAGAGAGAGCGCAAAACAAAACCCAATTCTGAAATCACGAAGATCTTTAAATATCCCGACACCCTTCATTCCCATTATCTTTACCCTGTAAACCACTAGAAATAGCTCTAATTTTTCAACTTTGTGTTCTCAAATTTTGGTGCTTAGCGAAAGCTATCCTCACTTTGCTATGCATAAACGTACCACTTACAGTAACTATCACTTGAAGTTCATACTTGTCAAAGTAAATTTAACCACTCTAAGAACAATGATGCATCTTACCATAAGGCTGACACCAGACTGGAAAAGCTCATATGGGTAGAGAATTCTTTCATAGTGTGACTTCAAAAGAGAACCAGTTCCTTTTCCTGGCAGATATCCCAAGCGGCTACCTACTTTAGACCATTTCTTCTCTTTGGTGACTATTTCAAAACCTCCTTTGCTGGCAACAATCTGAAAAGGAAATAGGAATTCTTTAGGGAAAGATGTTAGTTGCAAGCACACTAACTTCTATAATCTCAAAAGATAAAAGTTCTCCCCTCTCTCAGCAGCTGGTAGAGTGTTTGCCTAGTATGCATGAAGCCCTCAGTTGATCTCCAGTTCCAGAAAACCTGGGTGTGGTAGTACATCTCTAATTCCAGTTTTCAGGAGGTGGAGGCAGGAAGACCTTTGACATTCAAGGTCATCTTGGCTACACAGTAAGTTGGAGGCCAAATTGGGATACATGAGATCCTGACTTAAAAATAAAAATGTGGCCAGCAAGATGGTTCAGCAAGTAGAATTTTACTAACAATAATTTTTGTTCCATCCCTGGAACCCACATGCTAGGAAGAACCAGTTCAACAAACACTTAAAAGTCCAAGATTGGCCGGGCGGTGGTGGCGCACGCCTTTAATCCCAGCACTCGGGAGGCAGAGGCAGGCGGATCTCTGTGAGTTCAAGGCCGGGCTGGACCGATAGCCTCCAAAACAATACAGAGAAACCCTGTCTCATAAAAACCAAAAAAAAAAAAAAAAAAAAAGTCCAAGATTGTGCATGCACATGCTGGGAAATGAATCCAGGTTCTCTAGAAGAGCAGCCAATGCTGTTAACCACTTTGCCATCTCTCCAGCCCCCAAAAGAGAATTCTTAAAAGAAACTTTTTGGGCCAGGCATTGGTGGCACACACCTTTAGTCCCAGCACTCGGGAGGCAGAGGCAGGGCGGATCTCTGTGAGTTTGAGGCCAGCCTGGTCTACAGAGCAAGTTCCAGAACAGCCTCCAAAACAATACAGAGAAACCCTATCTCCAAAAACCAAAAAAAAAAAAAAAGAAGAAAAGAAACTTTTAGGGGCTAGAGAGATGAGAGATAGCTCAGTGGTTATACTCAATTGCCATGCAGCTGTGAGGACCAGTTTGCTACTAGCACCCATGTAACAAACTAGGTATGGTTTCCAGTGTGCCTGTGACTCCAACACTGTAGAGAACAGAGACAGAAGGGTTGCTAGGGCTTGCTGGCTTCCAGTCTAGTCACAAAAACTAAGTTTCAGGACCCTGTCTCAAAGGAGTCAGGCAGTGGTTCTCAACCTCCCTAGTGTGGCAACTCTTTAATACAGCTCCTCACGTTGTGGTGATTCCCAACCATAAAATTATTCCATTGCTACTTCACTACTGCAATTTTTCTACTGTTATGAATTATAATATAAATATCTGATGTGCAAGTTATCTGGCACAAGACCACTGTGGGGGTCTGCCCACTGGAGTAAGGCACAGAATGATAAAGAGGAACACTAAATGCCTCCTCTGGCTTCCAATGCACACACAAAAGAAATTTTATGGGCCAGACATGCCTTTTTATGCCTATGTAAATTGGTATCACTGACGGCAGGGTAGGGGACACAGCTCGGTGGGATGTCATCTCACCTCCACACATGCACTATGCTGCATGCATGTGTACAGACACACAAAGTCTGAGGCCACCATGATTGAAGTAGAAAATCTGAGGCCAGCCATATAGGGAGACTCTGTCTCCTAAAAAGAATGAATGAATTGATCTTTAAAAAATAGCCAGGTGGGCCGGGCGTTGGTGGCGCACGCCTTTAATCCCAGCTCTCGGGAGGCAGAGGCAGGCGGATCTCTGTGAGTTCGAGACCAGCCTGGACTACCAAGCGAGTTCCAGGACAGCCTCCAAAGCCACAGAGAAACCCTGCCTCGAAAAAAAAAAACAACAACAACAACAACAACAATAAAAAATAGCCAGGTGGTAGTGGGCCATGCCTTTAATCCCAACAGACGGGAGGCATGGGCAGGCCGATCTCTGTGAGTTCAAGGCCAGCCTGAACTATATATATAACATGAGTTCCAGGACAGCCAGGGCTATTACAGAGAAACCCTGTCTGAAAACAAACAAAACAAATTAAATACAAAGGAAAAATTATTTAAAATTCTTTGTTTCATGAATCACAAACCTCTACTCAATTTCTTCATGGGTGGACCTAGCACAAACTACTACTGGGCTATATTTCAGCTCTTGTTAACTTTTGAAGCCAAGCATTGGCCTCACCTTGCTTAAAGCATACAAATCCAGGATTTTTCTCTCCACCACAGGAATCTTCAATGTAGATCCTTGAAGCTCCCAAAACTTTGCCAGTTGATCCAAGAAGTCCAATCTCACTCTAGTCATTGCCTAAAATTAGTAAAATACAGAAATCAAAAACACAGGGCTGGGGATAAAGCATGGTGGCAGATCATTTGTCCAGCATGCTCAAGGCTCTAGATTCAATTCCCAGTACTTCGAGAAGAGAAGGAGAAAGCAAGGCCAGCAAGAGGGCTTAGCAGATAAAAATGATTGCCACCAAAGTCTGATGACCTGAGTTCAACACTTAGATCTCACAATAAAAGAGGAGTAGGATCTGAGTGTTGAACTTGGGTTGTTTGGCTGAGGTGTTTGGCTGTCTGAAAAGATTTGGTAAACTGAAGGTTAGCAGGCTTGGACATAGAAAACAGTCAACACAGCAGAGATTCTACTATGGAAGCACAATAACAACTGTGAATAATGATAGAGTATATCAAGTTGTAACACTTCCACACCTCACTGATCAACAAAAGGCTGGAAACCCTTTGCTTTCTTTGCCTCCAATCCAGAGAAAAGTTATCAGTGCCCAGTTATCCCTACTCTTTCCCCATCAGCTGTCCATGGTGGCCGTCTCTCTTACTTTAAGCTAAATATTTTGTTTGTTTGTTTTTCGAGACTGGGTTTCTCTGTACTGTTTTGGAGGCTGTCCTGGAACTCGCTCTGTAGACCAGGCTGGCCTCGAACTCAAAGATCCACCTGCCTCTGCCTCCTGAGTGCTGGGATTAAAGGTGTGTGCCACCAACTCCCTGCTATATTTTTGAAAGATTTAGTTTTATGTGCACTGGTGTTTTGCCTGCATGTATGTCTGTATGAGGGTGTCAGATCCTCCAGAACTTGAGTTACAGACAGCTGTGAGCTGCCGTGTGGGTGCTGGCAATTGAACAAGGGACCTCTGAAAAAGCAGTCATTGCTCTTAACCATTGAACCATTTTACCAGCCCAAACGATCTTTTGTTAATAAAGTTCTTTGCTAGATGTTAAAAGAAAGCCTCTCCTTCCATTTAAGGCCCTGGTATGCTGTTTTTGGTTCATTTTTATTGTTGTTTTTAATGTGAATGCATAGTATGTTTATGGATACTAGAAGAGGGCATCTGATTCTCCTTGAACTGGAGTTCCAAATGGTGGTAAACCACCATGTGTATGCTGGAAGTTCAACTCAGGGCCTCTGGAAGAGCAACAAGTGTTCTTAACCACTAAGCCATCTCTCCAGCCACTGTTAAGCCATTTTAAATGTAATCCTGTTTCCTTCTAAGCTCTCCTACCTAAAGGCACAATCAGGATCTACAAGCGATTTCTCCTAATAAACTTCATTCCTAAAGAGTAATTATTTGGGCCGGGCGTTGGTGGCGCACGCCTTTAATCCCAGCTCTCGGGAGGCAGAGGCAGGCGGATCTCTGTGAGTTCGAGACCAGCCTGGACTACCAAGCGAGTTCCAGGACAGCCTCCAAAGCCACAGAGAAACCCTGTCTCGAAAAACCAAAAAAAAAAAACCAAAAAAAAAACCAAAAAAAAAAAAACCAAAAAAAAAAAGTAATTATTTGTCAGCGCCTTTCCTGAACCAACCATTGCTGCCTCCATTTTTATATCTAATATGAAAATGCCATAATGAAATCCATTATTTCGTAAGCTAACATAAATTTAATTAGGAAAACAAATCTGTGAGTTTGGAGCTGGGCATCATAGCAAAAGCCTTTTGTAATCCAAGCACACTCTGGAGACTGAAACAAGACTACCATGAGTTCAAAACTAGCCTGGGCTACACAATAAGTTCTAGACCAGACCATACTGACTACAAAGAAAGACTGGCTCAAGAAAGTGAGAGAGTAGGAAAAGGGGCTGGGGGAAGTAGTTCAGTTGGTAGAGTGCTTGCCTAACTTCTTGAAGACCAGGGGTCTACTCCTAGCATCATATAAACTGGGTATGGTGCTGCACACCTGTAGTTCCAACACACAAGAGGTAAAGGCAGAAGATTAGAAGGATCAGGTAGTCCTGGGCTATACATATCCAGCTAAACGACATCTTGGGCCATACGAGACCTTTTTTCAAGGAAGGAAAGACGGGAGGGAGGGAGGTAGGGAGAAAGGAAGGAAGGAAGGAGACTGATAGACTTCCATTTCTCTATAAGCCCTGGATTTTCTATTCTGAAAATATGTTTTGCCAATCTGGGCAGTGATGGGGCAAGCCTTTAATCCCAACTCTCAGGAGTCAAAGGCAGGTGGATCTCAGCGAGCTCAGTGAATTCGAGGTCAGCCTGGTCTACAAATCAAGTTGGAGAACAGCCAGCGCTGCTACACAGAGAAACCCTGTCTCGAAAGAAAGAAAAAAATACTTATATAATATATAATTATATATATTCTATTATCTTGGCTAAATGAAGGAAAAACTGTAACAACTACTTGAAAGTCTTAAAAGACATTTTCATAAATATCAAGTAACTATTAGTTTATTAAATCCCACTTAACACGAACTCTGGGCCCTATAATACATAAGCTTTTCAAAGTTCTATTTAAAATCCCAAGGTAAACAATCAGGAGACTGGTGGCTGGGCGGTGATGGTACACGCCTTTAATCCCAGCACTCAGGAGGCAGAGGCAGGCGGATCTCTGTGAGTTTGAGGCCGGGCTGGACTGACAGCCTCCAAAACAATACAGAGAAACCCTGTCTCATAAAAACCAAAAAAAAACAAAAAACAAAAAAAAAAAAAACAAAACAAAACCAATCAGGAGACTGGAGCCATAAAGCCATGGTAGAGCATTTGCTTAGTCTGTCTGAAGCCCTGAGAACCAAACACCACCACCACTTAAAAAAAAAAAAAAAAAAGAAACAAAACAGTAGAAAGATTGGTCTAATACTTACCTCAAGTTCATTCAGGCGCTGCACTCTGGGAGTGAATCGGAAAGTTTTTACTTCACATGCAAATGGAGGTTGCCAATCCTAAATGGAAAGAATTACTCTGGTAATTTAGAATGCATTTGCCACGAATCACAATAACAATACATTAGAGAACTTAAACCTTCACTATAAAGACAGAGAAAGAGTTAATTTTTTTTGTTTGTTTTGTTTGCTTTTTCAAGACAGGGTTTCTCTGTGTAGCTCTGGCTTACCAAGTTTAAAAAAAAAAAAAAAGGCCGGGTGTTGGTGGTGCACGCCTTTAATCCCAGCACTTGGGAGGCAGAGGCAGGTGGATCTCTGTGAGTTTGAGGCCAGCCTGGTCTACAAGAGCTAGTTCCAGGACAGCCTCCAAAGGCCAAGAGAAACCCTGCCTCGAAAAACCAAAAAAATAAAATAAAATAAAAAAACCAGAACCCCCCCTGATTAGGTCATGCCAGTAATCCTAAGAAATAGAGGCAGGATCAAGAGGTCCAAATCAGCCTAGACTACACAGCTTGACCATCTCAATACTTCTTCATACTTGCTAGAAAAGAAAAAGAGATTGCAAATGTCCACATTCAAAAATTGGTTCTACTCTTCACAGGGCATAGGAATCTCGTTTCAACAATATCCAACTGACCCTGGTGCTGATTTTCCAGCAACAACTGAACAAGGTTTTTCTCCCATGTAGCTAGGGATTGAACCCAGGGCCTTGCAACACTCTCCCCATGCCAACAACATTATCTGGAATGCACTGGTCTAAAAAAAACTTTTGACCTTGAGCATATCACTTATCCTCTTAGGGAATTAATTCCACTCACCAAGGGGTATTATCTGCTTTCCTAACCTTAAAAAAAGTGAGGATAATTGCCAGGTGGTGGTGATACCCGCCTTAACCCCAGCTCTCAAGAAAGGGAGGTCTTGGAACTCTGAGTTGGAGGCCAGCCTGGTGTACAGAGTGAGTTCCAGGACAGCCGGAGCTACACACAGAGAGACCCTGTCTCGAAAAACAAAAAAACAAAGTGAGGATACTTAACCAATTTATAGGCAAACTTGATTATTTATACTACAACTCTGAAATCTTTGCCCTTTACTTTCTCACTGTCAGGAGATTTCAACGTTTCCCTCCATGCCCACTTAGTGGCCAATTCTTCTAACACTTCTATTTTTTAAAAAGTAACTCATTAATGCTCTTTTATCCTCCCAATGATGCCTTTTCTTGTTGCAGTAGAAATTAGCTTGGGGTTCTAGTCTAGTGACATCATCCTGGCAGCAAGGACAGCTCGGATTACATCTTAAGAAAACCTGAGGAAGGCCTGCAAAGGTCTGACAAACTGAGCATTAGCAGGCTTGGACACAGAAGCAGCCCACAGAAGCGGAGTCTTCAGTAAGCAAACACAATGGTCGTGCATGAGCATAAGGCGTGACACGCCAACCCAAAGAACAGTATTCGTGCCCAAGTAAGTTCTGGAAGGAAGAGGTCCCAGAGCCACGGCTTTCTCTCGTTTGAGGGTGGTAAGGTCCAAGTCCCACAATCTGAGTTCGAACCCCGAGACCCACAACGCAGGGGAGAATCGACTCCCACAAAATGTCCTCTGACCTCTCCGCGCGCACGCACGCGCGCACCCACGCTCCCCCCCGCACACGCTCACACTCTAAAATAAATGGAAAAGTGGACGTGAAACTACGTAAGAAACCAAGGCAAAACACCCCCAAACGTGGCCTCTGAGTTAAAAAAAAAAAACAAAAACAAAAAAAACGAGGGAGGGGCTACTGAGAGCACCCGGGAACCTCAACCCGAGAAGCTACGGCGAGAGCGCGCCCCTCCCGCCGCCCCGGCCCCCACCCCCGGGCCCGCTACCTTGGGGGGACGGATTTTGCAGATGCCAGTTTTCTCAGCCAAAGGCCGGATGCGGCCGATAAAACTGAGAGGGTCTGAGAACTCCTCCCAGCTGGGCTCGAAGACCGGGCACTCGGGTGGCGGCACGAACTCCGCCGCGTAGCCCCCCGGGCCCACGCCCGCCATGGCCGCAGTCAGGGGCCCCTGAGGTGCACAAGCGGGGGAGGCGGGGTGACGGCCGCCAAGCCCTCTCACGTCCCCTCACAGGGGCCGCAGAGCATCTTCTCCGGAGAGACCCGTGCCTCACAGAACGCCCAGAAGCGCTTCCTCCGGCCGTTTGTTATTGTTTCCTTCAGGGCTTTTCCTCTCAGGGCCAGGACGCTTCCGGAAGTCAACGTACTGCCAAATCCGTCCGCGCCGCAGGAATCAGAATCCCGCCGCCGCGACTTCTAGTCCGGCCCTTTCTCCTTGCTCCCTTTCAGGACAGCGCGGCGTGGCCTTTCCTCGACTTCCACGACAAAGTCCTGCGCCCTCCGTCCACCGGCTGCGTGGCCTCTGAAGGCTCCACGACCTCTCCTGGAGGAAAGGCGAGGGAGAAGCTCTCCCGCAAGGTGGAAGGCGCGCTTCCGGCGCGCGGAGGAATGTGTAATGCCTCGGAGAGCAGAGGTTCTGTTTCCGGTGAGGAGGTTCCTGTTCCTCTTTGTGTTGGGGACACGAAAACAAGGTGGCCCTGGTGCAGCCGGTCTACCTTTCCTGACCTCCGAGGCCGGTTTCTAACGCAGCTGTCTGCCGTGTGCGCAGGAGCGCACTCTCGTCAGGGTGTCCGCGGCTCTGTTTTGGTTTTTGCGACTGCCCTAACTTGGTCCCCGTTGCACGGGGCTCTGCTTCTCCGTGACCGACCGGGCCCAGCCCCTCTCAGTCGTCACTCTGGCCGCCCCTAACCCCCACCGCGAAAGTGCTTTTCTCGCCACGCAGGGCTCCCGGCTGTGCCTTTCTAGCTGTCGGGAATCTTCCTCAAGCCGTCTTGTCCGAGAAGGAAACTCGACCTGAAAACACCCGCCCTGCTGACTTCTCTTTAGTTTGCTATGGAACTGGTCACCTTGTCAGAGCCTCTCCGTGTGAGGCCGGGCGTGATCGCCCACGCAGAGTTCCGTCCGACCAGCAAGAGCTGCATAGTGGCAAACTGTCTCAAAATCAAAACCCCTGTTGCTGGTTTGCTCCCACAATTACTCTATATACGTTTAAGCTTGTCTCAACAAGGCGGAAGGCAGCAACCCGCTCCCAAAAGCAGTCCCGTGGCCTCCGCATGCGTGTGCGTGTGTGTGTGCTCCCAAAAGCAGTCCTGTGCGGCCTCCGCGTGCGTGTGTGCATGCCTGTGTGTGTGTGTGTGTGTGCTCCCTAAAGCAATCCTGTGGCCTCCGCATGCGTGCCTGTGCGTGTGTGTGTGTGTGTGTGCTTGTGTGTGCGCGCGCTCCCAAAAGCAGTCCTGTGTGGCCTCCGCGCGTGTGTGTACCTGTGTGTGTGCGCGTTACACTCACACAACAATGAAAAATAGTTCAGGAGCAGCTCGAGCTGCAATGAATTTGAGGCCAGCTTGGGCTGCAGGAGACCTTGTCTAAGTAAGAAGAAAGCCTGTGTGGTGGCACAGGACTATATCAACGCTGGGGAAGGAGATGTAGAAAGAATGCCACAGCTTCAAGGCCATTCTGGTATGCATACTGGACTCCAGATACATGGCAAGGGCTCGGCTGGTAAAGACAGTTGCCACCAAGCCTGAGAATCTTGAGTTCGATTTATTGAACCCATATGGTTGAAGGAGAGAACTCCTGAAAGATGTCCTCTGACCTCTACACAGGTACACACACACACACACACACACACACACACACACACACACATACATACACATTCAATTAAATAATGAGGGGGGGAAACTAATGGTAAAAATCCTCTCTCAGCCGGGCGTTGGTGGCACACGCCTTTAATCCCAGCACTCGGGAGGCAGAGGCAGGCGGATCTCTGTGAGTTCGAGGCCAGCCTGGTCTACAGAGAGAGTTCCAGGACAGCCTCCAAAGCCACAGAGAAACCCTGTCTCAAAAAACCAAAAAATAAAAATAAAAATAAAAAAATGTACAAACAGATGTAGACACAGGAAGGTATGACATTGTACATAAGTAATAGTTTATCACAGCTAGACTTAGAGTGTTTAGTACTTAATCTGGAAAACCAAACTGTGCACATAAAAAGAAATAAAGGAGTTCAAAACTCAAAAGTTATCAAAATAATTTTTTCATTAAGCATGCAATCAAAGTGCATAGTGAGCTGGGGCTCCTGAGTTTATCCCCAGCACCACATAAACCAGTGGTAGAGCATACCTGTAGTCACAGCACTTAGGAGATGGTAGAGGCAGAAGGTCATAATTGCAAGATCAACCTCAGCTATCTAGGGCAAGGCCACCCTGTGATTAAAAAAAATGGCAAGAAAAAAATTTGAGGAGAAATAAGTAATTTCAAGTATATATTTATCTGTAATATATCTTGTTAGTGTTAGAGTAGAGTGAAATTAATACTTAATCTGGTAATGATTTAATAATAATTTAGCTTTGAACTTGCTATGTAGACCAGGCTACCCTGGAACTCACAGAGATCCTCCATCTGCCTCCCAAATTCTGGAATTCAAGGCATAAGCCCAGCACATAAGACGCAGAGGCTGGCAGATCTCTGTGTTGAGGCCAGATTGGTCTACATAGCAGGTTCTAGGACAGGGCAACGCAGAGAAACCCTGTCTTAAAAAACAAATGAATGTAAAAAAATAATTAAAAAATAAGTAAAAATTAAAATGAACAAACAAAAATACATAGCCTATCACCTCTGCCCCCAACACTTTTTAGTGGCTATTTGCTTGTTTGCTCGTTGGTTGGATACAACCTGGGACTGACCTTAGGACTTCAGGAATGATGAATACTAAAGAGTAAACAAGAATTCTGATTATACTGCCATAAAAAAAAAACCAAAACAAAACAAACCCAAGTTTTCTGCCTCTGAACTATACTCCGCACTCCAGCCTGATTCCAAGAATTTCACAGGGACTAATCAAAATAGCATAACAAAGATGTAAAAACTGCTAACTTTCCCTTTATGACATGACTAGGAAATGTCATTTGAAATTTGTAGCTCCACTTATCAGTGAGCCATTTAGCTTGACATAGACACGAAAGCTTCGGATTTTAAGCGTTCTAAAGTTTAAGGCAATGCTACCATGCGTTGCAGAATGAATCCTTTTGTACATTCTCTTTTGTTTGGTTATTGAGAACCAACCCCCCCACACACACACACACAGTCCTGAGATTAATCCCAGCATGAGCCACCACTCTCAGCTCTTCATGTATCCTCCTGAAGTTTAAATGAGCCTGGCTGGATATAACATTTGAATATATAATCCTTTGACTGGAGACATTGAACCCCACAGCTAAGCCACTAAGTATAGAAATTTCTTTCTCCCTCCCGCCTGTTTTGGCCTCTTGAGTCAGGTGCTTCGGTAACCAAAGGTTCAAAATAGCTATTTGGCCGAGGATGATCTCGAACTCCTGATCCTGTTTGTTCCCCTTCCCACGCGTTACTTGTACAACTCCTTAGGGTTTGTGAAACTTCTTAAGCTCACTTTAAACGAAATTGAAGGTGATATCACATGACAATATGTACAAGACACTGATCCACTCCGTGATTATGTATGTCATTTATGCAACAGATTTCATTAAAGAAAAACAGTTAAGTGAGTTTAGACCAAGTTATTAAAATCGGTGAGTTCTAACCGGCAAGAGATACTTGCCCTCCACCGCCCTAGCCCCACGTCCTGCTTACACGCAGTGCTACGTGCAGATGAAAAACTACACTTCCCAGGAGTCTCTGCTCGGCGAGGCGCAAGGCAAGATGGGAAGGGCTGCTGGGCAAACAACCGTCCTATTGGTGCGAAACCCCGAAAGGCCGCCTAAGCTCTGAGCGATTGGTAGGATTTTGTGGACCCTCGCTGATTTGAGTTGGTTTTCGGTTGCGTTGTCGGACGCCAAGGATTGGCGCTTGGTGAGTGTGGATTTCAGGGTAAAGGTGAAGGGATTTTGGGACAGACGTTGGGAAGAAAGAAAATCTGGTGGGATTAAAAACTTTGTAAACAGTACGGAAGAGAGCAACAGACGACTAAACCCGGGGACCTTAGGTGATGGGGGACCGGTCATGGAAAGTGTGTCTGCGAAAGCAGAGGTCTCCGGGACGCCGAGAACGATAGTGGTGAGGGAGCTGAGATCTGGTCAAGAGCTGGGTAAACTTGCGAGAGAAAATCCAGACGTCCTGGAGATGGATGGAGTTCCGGCTCCCTCTGCCTCCCGCTTCTGTAAGCTTCGACTTCCTCGTTTATAATATAAGGGGTAATAAATTACTTCAGAAAGTAGTTATGCAAGTAAATAGAACATTTTTCGGGGGGCGGGGTTGTGGCCAATATAGAGTGTTTTCTTAACATGCCCATGGCCTTGAATTCGACCTCTACACCTCCAAAAAAAATAGAGATTTGCTAACTTTTACATAAACAAAGGTATTCCTGCCTTTGAAGGTAGTGTTGAGATGGCTTCTGTCTGTCAGGAAGACGGGTTATCATAGTAGAACTGTAAATACAACCACTTTCCAGTGAGAACGTGTTTTTAATTTTTATTTGTTTATTTTTTCTTTTTGAGACGGACTGGATCCAACTGCAGCCCAGATAAGCTTGGAATTAACTGTTTATACCAAACTGGTCTCATGGCAATACTCCTGTCGCAGTCTTCCAAGTGCTGGAGTACAAGTGCACAAGCTATGGTTATATCATCCTGACAGATCATTTTGTGGGTTTTGTTGTTGTTTGAGACAAGGCCTCTCTCTGTAGCCCATGCTTGCCTGGAACTTAAACTGTAGTCTAGGCTGCCCTCCATTTTGGATGATCTTCTCCACTGCTAAGTTTTACTGACACAAACCACCACAATTGACTTGATAGATCATTTTGAATGGAAAAAACTCAGGAAAGAGGGGCTGGAGAGATGACTGCTCTTCCAGAGATCCTGAGTTCAATTCCTAGCAACCACATGGTGGCTCTCTATAATGAGATTTGGTGCCCTCTTCTGGCCTGCAGGCATACATGGAAGCAGAGTACTGTATACATAATTAATACATAAATAAAAATCTTTAAAGAAAACTCAGGAAAGAGATGAGGGGAATAATATTTAAGGTAAATTTTATGTACAAAATAGTCTGAATTAAGTGAATTTATTGTAGTTCTGGAAGGAGCTGATTTTTCAGCTGCCAGGGAGCTCATGAACAAACGCATAGAACTAAGAAAATTATGCGGGTCTGGCATGATGTATAGGCCTTTAATTCCAGGTCTCAAGAGGCAGAGGCAGGCAGCTCTCTGTGAATTTTATTTTATTTTTTAAAAATGTGTCTATTTACTAATTATAATACCACATTCTGCCTCTGTGTGTATGCCTGCAGGCCAGAAGAAAGCACCAGATCCCATTACAGATGGACATGAGCCACCATGTGGTTGCCGGGGATTGAACCCAGGTCCTCTGGAAGAGCAGTCAGTGCTCTTAACCTCTGAGCCATCTCTCCAGCCCTCACTATGCGTTTT